CAACTAAATGAAATTTATCATAATGTATGTATAAATCTAGAAAACCGTCATCATACCTGTCTTGTTTTTTGCGACATTTCCAAAGCTTTTGATCGGGTTTGGCATGCAGGGCTTGTACACAAATTAAAAAGCTATGGAATTAATGGAAATCTTTTAGACTGGCTATCCGATTATGTACATAATCGCCATCAATAAGTCTTCATCCACAATGTAACCTCTCACAACTAATGCTGGTGTACCCCAGGGTTCTGTTTTAGGTCCACTTCTTTTCTCTTGTATATCAACGATATAACTGATAACCTTGTCAGCCCTTCCCGTCTTTTTGCTGATGATACTTCCCTATCCGTCTCTTCTCCTTCCGCAATTGAACTTGAAACTTTTATTAACCGAGATCTTGAAAAAAATCATAACTGGGCAGAACATTGGCTTGTTAAATTTAACCCTAATAAAACTGAAGCACTACCTATTTCAAATACCAATGCTGAGCTTGATGTCAATCTTATTTTTAATAATGTTAATATTGATTTTATTGAACATCATAAACATCTAGGCATTTTCCTAGGTGCTAACTGTAAATGGACTCACCATATTGATAACCTTTTGTAAAACTGTAACGAAACAAATAGGAATTCTCCGCAAGTTAAAATATACTTTAAATCGCAAGACATTAAACAGAATTTATCTTACTTTTATACTCCCTCTGCTTGAATACTGTTGCGAAGTTTAGAACGGTTGTACAACTGCCGATGCAAATAAACTTGAAAAAATCCAGTTAGAAGCGGCGCGTATTGTCACCGGCCTGCCATCTTTTGCTAGTAGAGCGTCTCTTTACTTCGAAACTGGTTGGGAAGTCTTGTCTCAACGTCGCACCCGCCGCAAACTTCAACTTTTCTACAAAATTCACAGCAATATGACTCCCTCTTACCTAACTGACCTTCTCCCGCCACTATAGTAGCTACTTTAACTTCTTATAATTTGAGAAACTCTGAGAACTATTCCATTCCTAATTTCCGTTTTGATCTTCACTTAACTCGTTCATACCTTCTACTTTAAGATTATGGAATGAGCTTGAAACTAATGTTAAAACTGCATATTCTTTTAAGAGCTTCACAAACTGCCTCAAAAAACAAAATGAATGATTTAAAGTGCCTGTTTGGAAACGAATTTTCGAGAAAGGATGGAATGAAAAGGAGAAAGCCACAAAGCACGGGACGTGACAAACTGTTGAATAGCTGAAAGTATGGAATAGTGCCAGGATATCACTGCGCTGGCTGTGCTGGATGGTTCCATTTTCATGACAAAATTTAAAATCTACTATAATTTGTACATAAAAGTAAGAATGAATGTGTGCATTATATGTTGAATATTGAGATGTACATTATATAAACTGCAATGAATAAGTAATAATCTCTGTTTCTCTCTTATGTAGTGATTTAAACTATGAAAGCCATCTAATGATGTGTATATACAATTATTTATCTTATAAGGAAAGGGCGTTAATAATGTTCATGTAACTTGTGCCCAATCCTTTTGCATTTTTTGGCAATAACATATGTTTAAACTAAAAAAAAACTAACGCGTTCGCATTTAACGCGGCGTTAAACAAGAATTTAACGCGTTAAAATAGTTTTAACGCGTTAGATGCTATCACGTTAAATATATACTTTTATCGCGTTAAACAATCAAAACTGTTTTAACGCGATAAAATGCTTCCCAAGTTTAACGCGTTAAATGTTGAACTTATTTTTGTAATGCGTTAAAGTGTCATAAATGAATGGACCAATCAAATGTGCAGTTACATACAGTACTTAACCATGGCTGACGACGCCAGGACCTGTGTTTTTCCCCAATAAATTACTGTTATCGTGTTGGCATTGACGGGGATGCTGACACAAGGGACACACTTATACAAAGGTGCTTGTTTTATAGAATATTGTACTAATACTCTCATCGTAAATGAAGGAATATTTTGACAACGAACCATAACCATAATCATTACTTAGGCCTAACGTTTATGCAGGACAATTCTTCACTTTAGTAAATATACATCTATCAAAATGCCGATGAACACCAGTCAGTACAGAAGAACATTTGACTGAAATACCTATAAGTAAACATTGTTGTAAACACGCCTGAATGACGTCACGCAGCAACATTTGTGACGTCATCAGGCCTTCATGCTTTTGCTCAAAGATGCAGGCATTTTCGCCATTTTCAAACATTTCACTTGTAAGTGTTCAAATGTAACATTTTGTATGTATGTGTTTCACAAGTCGTACTGATACGAACAGCTCCGAATGTGTGTGTGTGTAACAATGATTAGCATTCAAATAAATGGTTTTTCTTAGTTGTGATAGTTCATTTTCGATAACTTGAAGAAACTGATGAATGCTGTTGCTGTTCGATTAAGATGGCTGGGATCGGCTGAGATGGGGTCAATTTACATGCGTCGTAATAAAGATTCAGTCCTGAACAATATAAACTTCTAAATCGGTGCCCAAATTGTAGACAATGTAATTGGTTCATATATTGTCCAAAGTCATGAGGTTGAAGCTCACGGTCACTAGATACAAATGAAACATGAAACATGGCAAGAACCTGAATTTGCGAATTTCCATAAAAACGGTACACTTTTTGTATAAACAAATATATTAGAAAGCTATAGGAACTAAGGCAAGGAATATTTCCGCAAAGTTTCCATGCCACAGGGTCAAAGGTCAAGGTCGTGGACATCGGGAGACTGAAATTGCAAAGTTCCTGAAAAAACAGTACACTTTTAATATAACATACACCGACACTTTGGAAGGTTAAAATGGTACACTTTCCTAAAAATGGTACACTTTCTGTATAAACATAAACTAGTTGCAGGAAGTAATACGAAAAATGTTTTGGCAAAGTTTCGAGGACATAGGGGTTAAATGTCACCGACACTTCAGAAGACAAAAACGATACACCTTTTGTATACACATCTACATTTGCAAAATTGTAGAAAATAATAGTTTAGCAAAGTTGTAAGGTCATGTGGTTAAAGTTCATAGTCACAGACACATCAGTCGACTGAACATGCTCATTTTCTCCAAAAGAACGTAGACTTTTTGTTTACACATATACATAAGAAAGTTGTAGGTAACTGTGCCAAGATTATTTTGACGAAATTTCAAACCTAGGACCCATTAAATTTAGTTGCAGACAGCTGGGAATTAAATAGCTTCAAAAAATTAACTAGTTCTGAAATGTAATGTGATATATACTATTTTGTTGATAGGTCATATTATTCACATTAATGTAATTGTTTAGACTACAAAACTTGAGGAGAGATGTGGCACTAGGGAAGGTAGTCCGAATTATTCTGACGTTTTATCGCCTTTTTTCATATCGGTCTGTCGTTCGGTTAATCGACGACAGCCCTATATGAAAAAAGTCGATAAAACGTCAGAATAATTCGGACTATAGGGAAGGCAGAGTTTCTGACCGATGACCAATTTGAGAACATAGCAGCGGCTATAAAGTCCATGGAACAGGAACTATTGTCTTCTTGTCGCGATTCAGGTATTGTACACATACTAACTCCGATATCTCTTAGCAGATGGTTGCGTAGGAGGTGGTGGGTGCCGGAATGGACCACTCCAACCAGGTTTCTAACTGTTCAATCATGTATGCACCCTCCACAAAATGGGCAGAGGTAGATATATATAGTGTTAACCCTATATCTGTCACCTTGGGTACACTTTGCGTTTAGCTCCATTTATCATGGTAATCGAACTTCATGTGTATTCATCTTCATAGTACTAGGTTGATGCTTCCCACTTTTTAAAGAAAAATATTAAAAATTCATATTAAGTTTCTGAAAGACTGTTTTTTTTTACTCTCATGAAACAATACATGCCTTAAGAATTCATCTTATGTATTTCTTGGGTATCAACAGCATGTGTGTTTATTTATAGAGGTCATTAAAGTGCGTCAGGTTCACTTAGATTGTTTTTGCTGGTCGAGTACCCAAAATAGAACACTTCATGATATACTATTAGTAAGTCAGTTTATGAAAATGACTTGACAGCATTTTAATAATTTTCTTCATTAAACAAACTTCTGACAAAAAAATTTGCTCATTTATTCTCTAAAAATTCATTTGATCATATAGTTTTCCATAATTAGAAATATGATCGATAATTTGTATTCGCATCGTACTGTTTCCCTGGATTAGTAGGTGATCTTCTTTCATCGCAAGGGTGTAGGGTGAGGGTACCCAAAATGGAACTGTACCCAAAATGGAATACTTTGATAAAAGTGACACAGCAATTGTTATTTTGCAATAAAAAATAATGGTATGTATTCTCAATCAAAATTTAAATAGTTTTATGCATTTTGAACAAATAGCATCTGCCTACTTCTTAAACATTGCTCATAAACTCAATTAGAATGATAAAAAAAAATGAAATAAAAAAAAAACCAAGGAAACAGTACGATGCGAAAACAACTTATAACTATAAATTGTATTTTGGTTTCACAATGCTGATATGCAAGGACGCATTTGATTGGTTGTCAAGTTTAACGCGTTAACATTTAACGCGATAAAGTAATTTTTGACGCAATAAACATGTATTTAACGCGTTAAATGCTAACGCGTTAGGGCTTAACGCGATGAAAGTGTATATTGAACGTTACAGCATTTAACGCTTTAAATCCTTGTTAAACGCGTTAAAGCCTTGTTTAACGCGTTAGATGATGTTTTAATGCGTTAAATGCGAACGCGTTAGTTTATCTCGTTTTTGACATGAACGGCCTTTCATAGTATCTGAACTTGCTGGTACGCTTTACTATAGGTATTTGAATAAAGGATTTTGACAAGTCAAATTTGTATTATTGATGGGAAAGTTTGTTTATCAATTCTGCATTTGGTTTTCTTTGTATAAATACTATATTGTGATTTTAACTGTATTCATACAACTAACAGTTATCGTTCCTGTTATTTTTTTCCTGGTTGATAGACGTCGCCTCAATCGTGACATTTCCAACATGGCGTCCATCCATCATGCCGGCCACGTTACCAACCTATCGGTAATGTTTTTATTCCACTGACAACTGTTAACGGCGTTTTAAAACGTTATTCTTATTGTAATTAGACTTGTGTGAATATATTTATCTTCTTATTGATGTTTTCGAGCTCGCTTTGTTGCGAAAAAGAGTGACCAGCACAAACTAAGATCTGTCAGATCTTGCTGATGATGCTGGATGCAGCTGACGATGGCAACCGCTCGAAGCGGTCAGCGGTTGGAAGATAGTAACCCGATCATGTACTCGCTCTGATCAGATGAACAAAATTATGATTAATCCGATGACATCTGTTACTTTCGGTTCACAAACGAATGATACATTATAACAGCATCTAACTTTTGTCTAACTCACAGGGTCACGTTACACATGCTATACGGATATGGGTCACAACACACATAAACATACACAAGACTTGTGTATGTTTATGTGTGTTGTGACCCATATCAGTATAGCATATATGTGATTGTAACGTGACCCTGTGTCCAACTCGTATGCAGCCTTTGACGCATTTTTGGTATTTAGCGATGACGAAGTCAAGTTGACAGTATTTAATTAATATCTCATCAGTTTTGCAGAGCAGTAGTCTGAGCTGATGTAACAGTCAAAGAAGGATATTGGTTTATTTTTGCATTGATTCAACTTACTAATTGAGAATTGTGAAAATTGTTTGTGTTAAAATATATTTAGACCATTCATGCATCAGCAATCTATCGAAAACAAACATTTAGCCCAGACTTAAGTTTTCAACGAGTTTTCCCCTTTCCTGAAAAGGGAATGGTTTAATTTAATTCAATTAAAGCTTATATTGTATATGAATCGTTGTTTTTTCATGGAAAAATTTAGCATTCTCTTTTGAACTTCTTGTTCAGAGCTGCAAGAAGTATTTCTACAAATGTAATCTGCATATAAGAGCACAATGCAGGGCTCACCCTGGACCTAAAAAATCAGTAGCCAAAAAAGTAGCAAATCAGTAGCCATAAAAGTAGCCATGTTTGAATTTCAGTAGCCAATTTTTTTTAAACTGAAAACTGCCTACAGAAAGGTTTGCTTCATCAAAACAATTCACAATGTACACACCATACACTGGCTGTTCAATATGACCCATTAACACATAATTTGATAGAATATTTGTATTTTTGATACTGTGAACTACAGTATAATGATAAGAATTGATATGTGAAATATTTCTACATATAAATAAGTTGTAATAAATTATTCTAAATCCTTTCATACCATGTGATAACTAAAGATTACTATTCAAAACCACAGAAAACTACCAAATATTGTATATATTGGTGTACATTTGTTGATAAGTGCAAAGCAGGAAGTTGTCACCTCCACTGCTTTCTTCTTTTTACTCTTGATTGAAAAAGATAAATTTAAGTTCAGATGAAAACTAAAATTTAATTTATTGTATTGTAGTAAATTGCATTAAGTCCTAGCTGAAACTGGGACAGTCACTGGTTCACTTACATTGAATCAAATGCCTCAGTTTTCACAGATGTAGATCTGAAACAGCTATATAAAGTTAGGTTGAAGGTTGTTCTGTGAAACAAATTTTTATTTAAAAATGACCAATTGGTCTTGTATGTGTCTTTCTACCATGTCTAAGCCTTTAGTTTAACATAAAATTTTAATTTATGGCATTATTTTTATCATAACTAGATAAACGCTTTGTGAGATGGTGATCCTGCTAAGTCGCAAACACTAAGTTGTCCAAAAAATTTGTTTATCTCGGAGGAAGCATGGTTTTTAAGAGTAAATTCCCTAAATACTCAAAGGAGCATTACTACTTTGCTGATCTAGAGGTAACCGTTTCTATGTGGTTCTGGGGTTGTGGATATATTGTGCAAGGTGTTAGAGTAGAAGTCACTCAAGTCAGTGGTTGGTTTCACATGGTTTCTCCCACCTTCCTTGTACAACTTGTGTAAATCACTTATATTTCGCAGGAAATACATTTTCTTGTTCCTTTGTAAAGGAATGTTTATTGGAGATATAAATACTGTATCTTCCTAAACAAGTCTGGGGTTTACAATTTCACGTTTAGAATACTACTAGCCTGCAGGTTCATTTTAAAAAGTTCTACTGGCCTGACCTATATTTTCATAATGAATATTGAAAATATCTACGTACTAGCCATAACTTAAAATATAGTAGCCCCAAAATTGTATACATTCATTCGTGTATACATAACTACTCAGTATTTCATGAAACAACTTGTTATTCTTAGCCCACGATATGCAGATGGTGGACTGTTTATAACAATTTTTTGTCTGGTCTGTCATGATGTCCATCTGTCATTTAGTCAGTCTATCTGTCAATTTTTGTTTCAGCTATTTCTGAGAAATTACTTCAGGGATGATGATGATGATGAAACTAGTATGCATAGGTTCCTTGTTCAATCACTGAAAGTGGATTTGAAAAGCAAAATGAATGCCAGGCAGCTGGGTTTTGCTTTTTGTTACCACTTTGGTGCACAAACTACAATGTATTAACAAGATTATGAAAATAGTATATATGATCCCGTTACTCCCTTGTGCCTGCTTCAATATTTTTGGCACTTCAAAAAAAGAAAAAGCAGTCTTTTAGGATTTTATATGAATATTGCAAGTAAAAATAGAGTTTGTTATGTCTATTTTTTGGAAAGCACTAAATAAATAAATTAAGGAATCACAAGGATATTTGGTATACTTGATTCCCCTTGGTCCATATAGTTGTTCATGCTCCAGTTTGAGATTGGTCAGAAAATGTAGCTTAGAACAATCAACAAGCTCCCCAATGATCATGTCACAACTTGATTTGCATGGACCCCTTGGCACCTTACATGTGCTTGTTCCAGAAGAGAAACGTGAAATGAAATAAATACATAGGTACCAGCAACATTCACTGATTTTTTATGTTTGGCTGTAACCAAGGTCCTGCTTGGATGTCTTCTTGTGAAATACAATTCACACAAATGAGTCTTTAAAAGCAAAGTAGCAAAAATGACATAAAATTTAAGTGAATTAAAGTTAAAGTGTCCATTGGTTCTGAGGCTTGTGCATGTAGTGTATACCAAGCTTTCAGCATATATACCACTTTTATGTAAGATAATAGTTATGGTACAATACTATAATATAGTTGATCATTTATGATTGTATTAAACCTCAAATTGCTTTAATTCTCTAAACTAATGTAGAAGGGATTTTTCTGTAAACAGAAGTGTCATGTTTTGCTGATTTGGGAAGGATGTCCAAATGGTACAGAGTGGTTTAGTTTTACTATATAGTAAAAATGTATCATATTTCATTTGCTTGGTTTTGGCTGAAGGAAAGGTAGACAGGGATAGCTTTCTTGCATGCTTCCTTGTAGTAAGTTTTTATTGGTATATTTGTTATGGGAACTATATATATATTATCTATGATGTTTGATAGTATTTTAATTTTTCACAGGCTACTTTGATAAGAAATTAAGAATGCAACACCATGCAAGAATTAATCTACTTGTGTATCAATTATCCATTATACCATAATCTGTACATATGTCTCAACCCATGTAAGAAACATAGCTGCATTCATAAAACAATTTTGCTTAACACAACCTTTTAGTAAGTTAAATTACCGAGGCATTAAATTTGACCTGACCACTTGTAATAAAATGTATCACTCCTAAGTGTGTAAATGCATTGCTTACCTGATATACATAAACAATGTAATTTGTATGTTACATTTGGCTATATCATGAAAGTCAAACTTAACATTTTAGTTGATTTTTTTTTAGTTTTGAAATAAATGGTCTTATTGATGTGTAATTTTTTCTTCACAGAATATTGATTTGTCAAAGCTATCAGAAAAGGAAAGATGGAGGTAAGTGTAACGCAGGACAAGCTTCAGTGGTAGTCAGGAAATAGGAACAGAAAATTTGAGAACATGAGAAAATATATGTTCACAAATCTATATATAATAATCAAAATTGAATAAAGAGCCTACTAGTATTCACACTCACTCTGTCTCTCTCTCCCTTTCTTACATTTATCCATACAAATATCAACAGTCTCTTTACAACCCGGGCCCGGAAGCACAACGCCCAATCTTCCAAATGATGATGTCCAAGCGTATACAGCATCTCTATATCTGTCACAAAATACGGTTCCATGAACCTGAGAACTGACCAAATCCTGTCCACAGTGACTTTGCTGCCGAGTAAAGTAAACATTCACTTGCAAATGTCTTGTACAAAGTACAAATTTCCTCCAAATGATTTGATCAAGCAATCATTTACATTTTTGAACACATTCAAGAATCAAAACAAAGAATTGAAATTTTATGATATTTTATCTTTTAATTTATACAGGATAGAACACCAGCGGTTACATGAAAAACACAAGGGTCATGAGGCCATGCACGCCGAGATGGTACTCATCCTGATCGCCACGTTGGTGGTCGCCCAGATACTTCTAGTGCAGTGGAAACAACGCCACTTTCGGTCCTATGAGGTAAGAATCATGCACAGTATATGCCCTTTTGTTGTTGAAAAATATTAGTTAGGTGGGGGACTGGGGGTATTTGTGAATCCATAATGGCATTTATGAACTGTTATGGGTGGTAAATTCATGAGTAATATACAATTTACAAGTTTATAAAATCTTGCTAGAAGTTAAAAAGAACGTGAATCATGATTTTGATGTAATAAATGAAAGTAAAAGAAGTTCTGTAGGAGCAATAGATAAGTTTATGAATATAAATCTAGCTTAGCAGGTTGCTTAGAAGTTCTACATGTTATAGCAATATCTCAGTTTAATGACTTGATATCTCCTGTACCAATTTCATGACATACATGTACAGCATAAACCTATAATTGTACTCTCCTTCCTTTTCAGAGAGCTACTCTTATAGGGATGTGGATTATACCTATAGGATTCTGTATCAAGTTTTCCTGGTTAAGATTTGTTATTATATGGGGGATATTCTCCTTAATAACAGGATATGTAACATTTAGAGCTACGAGGAAGCCTATTCCAGGCAATACTCCAAGGTATACACGCAACCAGAAATCTACTTTTATATATTGTATATTAATGATCATTTCAGCTCACCTGACCTGATCATAGAAGCGAAGTCAGATGAGCTGTAATACATAGCCAGTACTCTCTGTCATATTATTTTTATTAACTAGGCTCATGTTTTATCCTTGAAGCGTGTCAGCTAGGCGGACATCATGAGCAAATTGATGATATGCAGATCTGTTAAAAATAGTAGAACAAATTCTTAAGTATGGGCCATATAGAACAAAATGGCATAAGATAATGATTCCATGAAATAATGTCCAGAAGTCTACGTGTACTACTGTTTATCAGGAGATTGTCAACACAGTTTAACTCTTGCCTTTTTGGCGACAAATTTATCATGATATTAAACACTAGTACAACATAGCATACCATATATAGAAATGACATGTGCAGGTTGAAATTAGCACTGCACGAATATGGATTTTACCGTGGACAGTTAAATATTTGAATGGACAACTGTCCACGGTAAAATCCATATTCGTGCAGTGCTAATTTCACCCTGCACATGTAATTTCTATTGAATGGACAAAAGAATCCTAGTTTACCTATTAATATATTTTTAAATGATTTTTATTATTAATTTAGGTCTGGCTTAATTACTGTGAATGTACTTATTTTAGTGCACTCAAATGCTACCATATTATCAATTTTTTTCATAAATTAGCGCTTTTATGAATTGGCGCATCTCAAAAATAAAAATAATGTTCTTTGCTATGCCATTGAAGTGTTCTGTAAGAGCTCTTGTTCCTTTTTGAGCTATTATTTATTACATCTGTTGTCACACCATTACAGTATATGCTGAATCTGTTTCAGACTAGTTTACAAATGGTTCATCATGATTCACAAAGTCAGTTACTTTGCCGGAGTGACGGGTTATATGATCATTATGCTGACATTGTTGGGACTTAACCTTTTACTCCTCATCAAACCTAATGTGTCCATGGACTTTGGACTGTTACTACTCTTCTATGGATTGTACTTTGGTGTGGTGTCCCGTGACTTTGCCGAGGTCTGCTCCGACACCATGGCAGCACATATAGGGGTAAGCTCTCTGTACACCTTGTACATTTACTGGTCATTATACACAGATTCTTCCATAATTTCCATTTCATATAAGATATATGAAACAAATCTAAGAAGTTTATCGCTCTTGATTTGCTTGTATGAGCTATTGCCATCAGAGAGACGTAAACATTCATGCTACCAGGAGTGGCCTGGGGTTTGGACCCATACCTGGGGACTACCTCCCTGGGTAAGAATATGGAAACAGTTAAGATCCTCATGCCATTGTCATAAACAAAATTGCGTGGCATGAACAATACAATCATGTTCTTGGTGTCTTACCCACCCAAACAGATTTAGTCCTTCTTGCAGCTTATATTTCTTGTACTCCTTTAATTTGATAAACTGGAATGGTACATAGCAGGTTTTAAATTGAAAACAAAATACCAGGAGAGCTATCATATTAAGGGCCCTTTGGCCACTTATCACAGTCTGCGACATTAGGCACTAGTCCAATGCCCACGACTAGTAAATTTAAGTCTGGACTAGTAGCGATTTTTTTCTTTTCCCACTATCAAGGGGAAATATTGCCATTTATACGCATTTTGCACAATGACACAAGTGATCTTATCCTTTTCATCGAAGCTACATATCGGCTACCTTGTCTTTATATACTAGGTATTTAATGTATTATTCAATTTATAACTACAAACGCCTGTTTTTAATACTGATTTTTTTTGTATTTATATTTTGTGAATTTTGAAATTTCCATCTCAGTAGACACTAGAAAAAAGGGAGTCTATAATTTGGACTAGCAAATTAAAATTCGGACTACTGAAATTCTGGGTTGTCTAGTCCAAATGACTAGTGAGGAAAAAAGTTAACGTCACAGACTTATTATAGCTGAAATTTTGTTGGGTTTCACTCTCTATTTGAAAAAAAAAAAAGCCCTTTCCTGCAAATATGAAATATTTATTATGCAAAATTTCTATCTGGACAATCTTACTACATGAACCTAGACTAGCATATCGACCAACTAAAGCCACATATATACTTAAAGTGTGTTATCATATATGACTGCGAGACTAACAAAGGCATTGAGAAAAAAGGGCCATAACTCACCTTCAATTGTCAAATTTTGTATGTATGTATGTATCTCTTGTGATTGTTTAGTGAAGCATTCTGAAGTCAGGGCTCTTTTGTTTATCACATTAAAAACGGTAGAATTGGTTGGTTCAGCGATGTTTGGTCTTGAAATAGGGACAGACCTAGTGATTTGATGTTGTTTTCTGTTGAGCCTGGGGTATATCTCATACTATATTAGTCAAATTTGTATGTAAGTATCTTCTTGTGATGATGGAGTGTTGCATTAGTTTATCTATATTTGCCAAATTTTCTGTGTGAATTCAATACATTGTGGGATGGAGGAGTGTTTTGTTCTGAACATGGGATATGGAGCTTTCTTCATTTGTGACACAAAATGTCCCAGAATTTGTCTGAAGGTGGGGGACTACAGTACTAGTTACTCCCATAACATGAGAGGCCGCTGGTCGGCCTTTTTTCAATCGAATATGATTTTGCCGACTGCGACCTCTCGTTTCCGAAGCACTAATTCTTTGATGCAGTTTCCGCCCGAAATCCGGGCGGAACAAAATCGGCTTGAAAAACTCACATAAGTGGTTAACAGTTCATGGCAATGATGTCTACTCACGGTTTATATAATATAGATCTCATATATATGTCACAGACACAAATATATAGTATATTACGGAATAGAACACTCAAAATACATGTCCATGTCGATGTAGCACATCTCTGACCTACATTTAAACACGGCTTCTGGATTAATACAAAATATCAGGGGGGATTTCAAACGGAACGAAATGATACGGAGTTTGTTTGTATTCCGCTTGTGAAACATTACATGTAATCCATTTTTGTATTAACCGGAAAAATCATGGCAAATGCTGTCTGCTTCGCTTCGAATGAGGAAAAACTCATTATTTATGTCTTTGACATGAAATTTTTCTCATATAATCATGGATTTATGGAAAGGAATATTTATTGGACCCTTTTGACCATTTAAATGTATGTAAACATGATATACTCTTTCTTAATCCGAACTTTGAAAATGTGGTAGTCAGCATCGGGAAAATCAGCTATGGGCAGTTAGAGGTTACGCGGCGCCTGTCAAAAGTTTTTCACCCTGTAAAACCTCTAACATTGTTGGAGTACAGTACTAGTATGCTATATGAATAAGCCACAATATTTTGTTGTGCTTTTATTATGTACCCTGTTTCAAATGAAATAATCATCATATTATCTTTGATTTCTTGTCTGTTTTGTCTGGTTTCAGTATTACTCAGAAACAGGTCTACCAGGAAAGCGACTAGACCCCAACGTATGTGGGGTGTGTGGAAATTCCATCTTGGTGCTTAATAATGAAGACGCCATTATTGAAGAAACTTGCAAACTAGGATGTAACCATATGTATCCTTTATGATCATTGTACATGTTAGGAACTTACCCCTCTTGATTAGTTCCAATTATCAATATAAAGACTTGGTTATGTGACTAGTTTGTCGATATATGCACTCATGCAAGTTTCCTCCCTTTGTCTAGTTTTTAGCTCATCTGGCCCTAAGGGCCAAGTGAGCTTATGCTATGGTGCGGCGTCCAGCCATCCGTCCGGCATCCGGCATTAACATTTTACTTTAAACAACATCTTCTTAATAACCACAAGGCCTAGGGTGATAATATTTTGCCAGAAGCAAACTGGGATGAAGGGCTACCAAGTCTATTAAATAAATGACCTTCAACCATATTCAAGGTCACAGGGGTCAAATATGTTAAAAACTTCAAACAACTTCTTCTGAATAACCAAAATGCCCAGGATGATGATATCTGGCCAGTAGCATGCTAGTATGAGGGGTACCAAGTTTGTTGAAATGATTGGCCATCAATCATATGCAAAGGTCATAGGGATTAAATATGTTTAAAACTTTAAATTACTTCTGAATAACCATAAGGCCTAGAATGTTGATATTTAATTAGAAGCGTGCTTTGATGAAGGGCTATGAAGCTTTTTTTCTTTTGTGTGACCTTGACCCACTTTCAAGGTCACATTTAGTCAAGTATGTATCAACATTTAAATTACCTGATCTAAATAAACAAAAGGTCTAGGGTGGTGATATTTTGCAAGTTGCATGCTGAGATGAAGGGCTATAAAATGTGTTCCACGTAATGACCTTGTTCGACTTTCAAGGTCACAGGGGTCAAATGTTTTAAAAAAATTTAACAGCTTCTTTTGAATGACTTAAAGTCATAAATACTGATAGTTTGCCTGTAGCTTTATTTTAGATCACGATCACTTTTAAGGTTAAAAGTGTGAGTTAAATACCAGGTGAGCGATGCAGGTCCATTGGGCCTCTTGTTATAGTCAAGACCCTCAAATCATGTTTAAAAGTAATCTAGAGTTGGGTAATACTCGAACCAGAGCTCGAGGTTGTCTTTTGCTCAATACATTAATCTGGCTAATCTGGCTAAAATTCATACTTTTCAAAACATAATTGATAAAAGTCATAATTGGTTTGCTCCCTTTCGTATATTTGCTTTTCTATATAGCTCGATTTAAATTTGGCGAATATTGTGAACACATATATTTCTTTTTTAGATAGGTCCGTGGAAGAAAATCATTTTGCTTCTTGCATTAATGACAATACATGTACATGATTGTATACTCAAACATTTTCAATTCTTGTTAGAAAGACTTTGGGCGAATATTCACAGTTACATTATGTAAATAGTAATTATTTTTAGGTATTCTCATGTTTTTCACACAAACTCTCAGATGCTGCAATGTCATTACACATTAGAACCACAAGTAATCATCAATTGCATACCTAGTTACAATAGAAAGTCAGCGTTCAAACGTAAGCAGAACAGACAAATAAGTTGTAAAAAGATGAGAATATTAGTATCGTGATGATGTAATGTATTTTGTAGGATGTTGCCTGGCAAAGTTTTAAATACTGTTCAGATGAAAAACACTACTGTAAAGTTGATCTTTTCCTTGACTGTTTATTTCAGATTTCATGAATTCTGTTTAAGAGGCTGGTGTATTGTAGGTAAAAAACAGACATGTCCATACTGCAAAGAGAAGGTGGACCTGAAGAGGATGTTTCCTAGTCCGTATCCTTTTACACACACTATTGGCAGTCACCAATCACACCTCGGCCTTTCTCAAGAAACCTGATCACACAAGCATCTTATAACCACTTTCTATGTTAACATGGTATTGTTTTGCCCCATACATGGCTGTCATTAATTCCTAGTGTGCAAAAAGTGTTAAGTTTCTTGTCAATGTCGAGGTGACTCCAAACAGAATGTTTCTGATAAATATGACCTTTTAATTATTAACATATGTCACAGTAAAGAGAACCCACTGTTCTGAAATCATGATCTACTTTAAAATGAAGTGATTTGTTTGACCTTGACCTCTCCATTAGATGGGACCGTCCACATATGATGTATGGCAACCTTCTAGACTGGATCCGTTACCTTGTTGCCTGGCAACCAATCATTATAATGGTTGTCCAGGGTATTAACTGGGCACTTGGACTGGAGTAGACTATTTATTCCGAAAGAGTGTGTGTGTATGTGATCTCAGTGACCAATCATATATAAGAATGATGTTTTGTAAAAAAGAAATCACACTTATTAATATAAAAACATGCAAGAAATTCTCCCATATTACTATTAGATTATTGTAATCATTACCAAGGAATTAAAAGGCCGTGCTATACAGAATGCATGTATATCTAAAATTGATACTTTGCAGAAATTGTTCAAATTCAAAAAGGACCGTTTAATGATATGGAGTTCAGAGTATAGATCTTTGTTATATCATTAAAAACTGATACAGAAGTCAATTATTCATTGCATTGTCACAATGACAAGAAAACAACTTTGGATTAAATGAGTACATTTTAATATTGTAAACGACATGACAAAATGAGTAAAAGTATATGCTTCTACATTGAAATAGCTGCTGACCATTTTATACTTTCATTAACTGTCTATGGCATGGATATGAAAACGATTCCTGTTTCATTAGTACTGCATTTGTTCTGCAGTCGAAATATTGATTCGGATTTGTACAGGCTGCAGTAAAACCTTTTGATTATTCAGAACACACTAATTGGGATATATATATATATCCCAATGCTCATATTAAGGAGCAGCTTGTCCTTTAGGTTGAAGGTTGTTCTTGTGAAGGGAGTATACATATGGACCTATTAAGGTTGAGAAAGAAGACAGAGACTGTCTGTATGCATAAGTTGGAGTGTTATAATTTAGTGTATACTTGTGATATACTGATATCTAAGGAAGTGGAAGTTTGTGTTTGAGAGATATTTGACACAGATGTACAGTAAACCCTTTATATAGTGCCCCTCATTTCATTTGCCCCCTTGTTTACCGCTAGCATATTTCAATGTCCTTTTCCTCGTTTTCTTCAGAATTCTTTTTATATATTTCCCTCAATTTAGCGCCAAACCCATTTATAACGCCAAATTTTCTCTTGACAAATAGTGGCAGTATAACAAGGTTTTACTGTACATGGTATTTAACTATTTATTTATGTATGTTCTAACCACAGATGATTGAATCAGTTGTTTCCTTCCAACCCACTCTAGTTCCAGTTTTAAATCTCAGTCTGAAGCAAGACAATGTTTCTTGCATCAACATCAAAAACCTTGCTAAGTACCAATATTTTTCAAATGGGAAAGGGGCAATGGTTCAAGCACCTGCTGTTGAAACAGATGTTATTGTAAATGTGGGAGACATTTGATCCGTGTGTGTATTGTAAATATTAATGTTTATCTGATAAGTATGATATTCCCGATAAATAAGTATAGGCTGTGTATTATTTGGATTATAGTGTTGTAAGCGTAACAGAGAAGGAATTATACAAAGGAGCATTATGTTTTCTGAAGTCATCTTATCTGGAAAACTTCCAGATTCTAATATTTGTTAATTGGTTTTAGATATTGATGTCTTATCAAACTGGAATTTGTTTTCTTGACAGAAACCACAAGGGTCCAGTAATTAATGAATATGTAAAATATACAGGCACATTTGTACAATATATTTGTACATGTGCATATCTTGAAATGAACCAGAAAATCTGCACATTTTCTCTACATTCAAATCATTAAGCACCTTATGAGATCATGTACAGTCTATGTGTTTACATGTGAATTATAAAGTTACAAATGTGCAGAATGAAGATTTATATGTCATAGATGTATATGTATCATATTCATACATGTGTTTAACAAGTGAGAACGTTCACGTATACATGTGTGTATTGTAAGATATTCATGTATTTGTATAATTGAGATGTCTACATATGTGATAATATGTGTGTATGTAATGGTAGTATGTATGTGTCATTTCATTATCATAAATGTGAATATCCTGTACAAGGAAATTTGATTGATCTACAGAAGCAAGTTTAAATTTTGCTTAGAATTAAGTCACTCTACTATGAAGTAAGAACAAATTCTTATGCATATGTTGATTTAAGTTGATATTTATACTCGCACTTCTAAAATTCTGACAAGTCTCCTTACAAGTGAGTGAGTAGCTATTATTTGACTATTTTACCATTCACAGTGACATGTAGACCTCCACTGTGTACAGAATGGTTATGTTTCAACATCAGATAGGTTTATTTTTAAACATGTAAATGACAATGAGGATAACTATGGCACTATGATAGAGATACAGGTGCCCTATAGTAATTGTTGTGTCTAGTGTTCATCTCTGTCAGTCACTCCCCATTTCATTTCTGGGGATAATCTTGGAATCCAAAATCCAAAATTTCTGATATTTCTCTTGGGGATATACTGTGATATGTAGATGTGTTATGAACATGTGGATTATTCCTAAATCAATGTCAAGGTCACTCCCTAAACATGGCTTCTGTTTGACGGAGACCTTTGGGCTATACATTCTGTTCTGTTCTGTTGGTCTGACTTTTTTCATACTTGGTATTAAATGGCACTTGTCTGATAGCATATGTGTGTAATAAATTAAAATCCAAGATGATTGCTTTGGCTTCTGTTTGGGGATATGTGTACAGTCAGCACACGACAGCACCATTCCTGATTGGTCAGTCCTCTGATTTTCCTTAATAGATCATGCTCAATAATTGTATGATAATAAGTGTATGATCAATGCCCTTGTTCTAATATGTTGCCTTATGATCAATAAATTTGTAGGCATGAAAATAAGAATAATTGATTTTTTTGTCCCTTTTGGGAATGTGAACATATTTGTACATGTTCTTTACATCAGCATCAATTATTAGATTAACTTTATCGGAGATGTAGGAATTATTTGGTCCCATGTTTGTGCAACTCCTGAACGGTGTGGCTTGTTCAACATTAAGGTCACAAGAATGGCTGGCTTGTGCTCTATTACAACACTTGACCCGTAGGACTGATTCGACATGAAGTGGCAGAAAACATTTGGTTCAATTTTAATACATGTGCCACACTTGAACTATATGGTTAAGTCAGTATGAGGTAAAAGGAATTATTTGGCACCATTGTATTGCCGCGCCCTTTAACTTCGGGGTGAATTTAACATGAGGTATATCCAATCATATGTAAGTGAGCTTATCATGGGACCAAAGAAAAAACAAAATTATTCTGAAAGGCTCCCATGCAGTGTGGCAGTGGAAATATTAGTTTAATTTGTACATTTGTATTTTGAATTTATTGCAATTTCTAATTAACTTCAAAGATGGAATCCTCCTGTCTTTAGAAGCACAAACAAAGTTATCAATTATGCATCAGTTATATTTATAAAACTTTCATTTTTGTCCAGCTAGTATTAGTCATCATAATGAATTTTTGGAACTCGGGTGAGATGTTTTTTATTGAGCAGCAATTGTTCATTTGTTTCAGTATTTATAATTTTGTTAGATATTTTATGTATTTACTGAAGCCAAAGGAAACAAAAATGATGAATCCATTATACATTGGTTGTTGTTGATAGTTTTTACTATTTTATCTGAGGATCGACTCATATGCTGCAAATCGTTTCTGTTTTGTGGGATATTAAGGTTTGCACTAACCCACATGGTCTATTGTAAATTTGATACATAGTATCTCTTAGTTCTCATTTTGAAATATGATAAAACAAGAAATATGCATTGTTGTTTCTTTTGTTAATACCTTCCTCGCAACTGGGCCTTAAAAAGAAATAAAAAATAAATGTTCATGAAAATAGAGTGATTATAGTGATCTATAATCTTGTACAGTTGTCATATGGTTGTCCCAATAAAACATCTATATTTTGGATGGTCCTAATTTTAAATGTTTTTCCACCATTCTGGCCCTCTCTGGTTAACAATATATAGGCATGTAGCTATATATATAGTACAATATATACACTTTATATCTGAACTATTTCGAAGTTCTCTCCAAGAATATTTCTTACAGTTTATGTCCCCTTTACAGCAACTTATACAACTTGAAATCTTAAAAAGCAACCCCTTCAACCAAATTTTCAAGGCACTACGTACGGTACATACACATTGTCAGTGAATATACAGCCTGTATCCTAGCTAATTAGGCTGGTGATCCCTCTACCTTTCATGTGTGGTTCAGGTCTTGCCAGTTGAAACAAGGCAGCTCTCATTCAGTTAGACCAAATATTTGAGCAGCTGAAAATGGTAATTATATCAGATGAGTTGATATTTTGAAAAGAGAATTAATTAAAATACCATTTTCAGACACTGAAATTATTGTTTTTTCATTTATAAACATGTAGTTGTTGATAGGAATTTATTTAATTTATATTTCTGTCATAAGTAAGTCCCTGTCCATATATAAGGGACCTATATATATAATATATTGTAGAAGGTTTAAGATATTTACATCTGTGGACTCGTATTCTGTCATGACTCCTCTACAGATAATTTAAATTGACATCATGTATCGTCAAGTCTAAATGAAGCCAGATGGATAATTAAAGTGTCCCTAATGCTTTCTTTGTTTACTGCCTTGTGTGTTAAGTAGAAACGGAGTAAGATCATGTTGTCTGAAGCATGTTTCTATAAACGAGACAATGATATACAAGTGAACCATCAATGAGAGTTGACTTAAGGTAAACAGTACCACTGCATCAGTTATACATTTGTCATCGCAAAAGAGAGTTCCACTCGGAGGATTTTTTTACTTGAAGTACAATGTACTCCCTTCTTGGTAGAAGATGAAGCAACCAAAATTATTTTTTCTGGTGCTTAGAGTATCTTCCCTTGTCAAGATTTTCATCCCCTTTGTGGCCTATGAGTTGGACACTCACTTTAGTGCTGTGCTACAGCTTGTATAATTCCCATACCACAACATTGATTAAGGGTAAACTGTAATGTCAACAACCACAATGCTGTCATATGCATGGAAACATGTGATATCTTTGAAAAGGTGTCAAATGAATATTTCACAATATTAACAGTGGTTATAATATATTTGAATGTGTTGGTACCCTTGAATTGAAAAGTTAAAAGCACCAAATTAAGTCAATGTTCAGATCAAGTCACCACCAAGTCTTGTTGATAAAGCCACCACCAAGTCTTGTTGATCTAGTCATCACCAGGTCTTGTTGATCCAGTCATCATCAAGTCTTGTTGATCCAGTCATCACCAAGTCTTGTTGATCCAGTCATCACAAGGTCTTGTTGATCAAGCCACTACCAAGTCTTGTTGATCCAGTCATCACCAAGTCTTGTTGATCAAGCCACCACCAAGTCTTGTTGATCCAGTCATCACCAAATCTTGTTGATCCAGTCATCACCAAGTCTTGTTGACCCAGTCATCACCAAGTCTTGTTGATCCAGTCATCATCAAGTCTTGTTGATCCAGTCATCCCCAAGTCTTGTTGATCCAGTCATCACAAGGTCTTGTTGATCAAGCCACCACCAAGACTTGTTGATCCAGTCATCACCAAGTCTGGTTGATCCAGTCATCACCAAATCTTGTTGATCCAGTCATCACCAAATCTTGTTGATCCAGTCATCACCAAGTCTTGTTGATCCAGTCACCACCAAGTCTTGTTGATCAAGCCACCACAAGGTCTTGTTGATCAAGTCATCACCAAGTCTTGTTGATCAAGCCAACATCAAGTCTTGTTGATCCCATCATCATCAAGTCTTGTTGATCAAGCCAACACCAAGTCTTGTTGATCCAGTCATCACAAGGTCTTGTTGATCAAGCCACCACCAAGTCTTGTTGATCCCATCATCACCAAGTCTTGTTGATCAAGCCAACACCAAGTCTTGTTGATCCCATCATCATCAAGTCTTTTTGATCAAGCCAACACCAAGTCTTGTTGATCCAGTCATCACAAGGTCTTGTTGATCAAGCCACCACCAAGACTTGTTGATCCAGTCATCACCAAGTCTTGTTGATCCAGTCATCACCAAATCCTGTTGATCCAGTCATCACCAGGTCTTGTTGATCAAGCCACCACCAAGACTTGTTGATCCAGTCATCACCAAGTCTTGTTGATAAAGCCACCACAAAATCTTGTTGATCAAGTCATCACCAAATCTTGTTGATCAAGCCAACACCAAGTCTTGTTGATCCAGGCATCACCAAATCTTGTTGATCCAGTCATCACCAAGTCTTGTTGATCAAGCCACCACCAAGTCTTGTTGATAAAGCCACCACCAAGTCTTGTTGATCAAGCCAACACCAAACCAAGTGTTGTTGATCCAGTCATCACCAAGTCTTGTTGATCAAGCCACCACCAAGACTTGTTGATCCAGTCATCACCAAGTCTTGTTAATCAAGCCACCACCAAGTCTTGTTGATAAAGCCACCACCAAGTCTTGTTGATCAAGCCGACACCAAACCAAGTGTTGTTGATCCAGTCATCACCAAGTCTTGTTGATCCAGGCATCACCACATCTTGTTGATCCAGTCATCACCAAGTCTTGTTGATCAAGCCACAACCAAGTCTTGTTGATCCAGTCATCACCAAATCCTGTTGATCAAGCCACCACCAAGTCTTGTTAATCCAGTCATCACCAAATCTTGTTGATCCAGTCATCACCAGGTCTTGTTGATCAAGCCACCACCAAATATTGTTGATCCAGTCATCACCCAGTCTTATTGATCTAGCCACCACCAAATCTTGTTGATCCAGTCATCACCAAGTCTTGTTGATCAAGTCATCACCAAGTCTTGTTGATCAAGCCACCACCAAGTCTTTTTGATCCAGTCATCACCAAGTCTTGTTGATCAAGCCACCACCAAGTCTTGTTGATCCAGTCATCACCAAGTCTTGTTGATCAAGCCACCACCGAGTCTTGTTGATCCAGTCATCACCAAGTCTTGTTGATCCAGTCATCACCAAGTCTTGTTGATCCAGTCACCACCAAATCTTGTTGATCAAGGCACCACCAAGTCTTGTTGATCCAGTCATCACCAAGTCTTGTTGATCAAGCCACCACCAAGTCTTGTTGATCCAGTCATCACCATGTGTTGTTGATCCAGCCACCACCAAGTATTGTTGATCCAGCCACATTTTTCTTTTTTCTCTCTTAAAAATGGCCAAGCATTGCTTCAGTTCATTGTTATAGCTTTGAATGAAGGAGTTGGCTCCACTGCAATTGTATATTAACCACCACCAGGTGGTGTGCCAGAAGTCAGTTTCTGGACATTCATTTGTTAGAGTCAATAGATTTTACTTGATAGCTGAAAGACATTATAATTCCTGCTTCAGGTAGCAGTGTACATTAGCAAACGGTGGCCATGGGTGATATTTTTGTACAATAAATAACCCCTGCAATATTACATGTATCAAAATAAAAATAAAACAGCAATACAATTGTTGGATTCACATATTAAAAAAATCGAATTTGGTTTGAGACTACATTTTTGGCCATCTACAAATCTGTGTCTACACAACAAAGACAGGTTTTATGTGGTTCACAAGTCCCAAATCTGGAGAAATCACTTCTTGAAGAAAAAAATCAATCTTCTAAAAAACCAGTATTCAAAATGTAGTTTATATATATATATGTGAAGGTGTGTTGTGCAGGATGAATCTGCTATGCATGTTTATCTGAGACATGCCCTTTATTTTAAGGATCAAGCCGTTGCTACTGTACTGTGCTATCTCAACCAAGTTTGATTATATATTATATATACAAAATAAGTAATTGCCTTGTGTTTCAATCTGTTTGAATGCATAGTTCCAATAACATTTCTCTTATACATTGTACTATATAATGAATTGTCATCAAAATGTTTTTTATGTATTGACCTTATAGACTTCAAGGGAAAAACATGCTTCTGGAGAACTATTTCATGTACTTTTTCAAGCAACATCATCAAACGAACTGGTTACTAATAGGGAAATGGAGTGTCAGGTACCAAACTATTGATTTTGACCTTTATCAAGATGAAATATTTCTGAAGCAGTTCTATATCATTTCTTGCAGGATCTTTAAATCACTGCAGCCTTTAGTTCAACTTTGAGACGATACAATTTAGGGAGAAAAAAACACGTTTTCTTTGCCAAACTGTTTGAGTGGGGACATTAACAAAGGAAGATTGACCTTGATAATACAAGGGCATATATTAGTTTCTAAGACCTCCAACTTCTAAAGAAAAATATCCACGAATTATTCCTTTATAACTATTTTGTTTATGTACCACATAATCAAAAGCAGATCACCGCACAATTTTTACATATTGTATTTTGGATTAAATCGAGGAAAAGCTGTTTCTGGAGTAATCCTCATTTCACACTGTTACACAACTTCATTATAAAGTTAATTAATTGAAGGTTAGAGATTCAAGTATGTTAACAAGTCTGACTTGAAGGTTAGAGATTCAAGTATGTTAACAAGTCTGACTTGAAGGTTAGAGATTCAAGTATGTTAACAAGTCTGACTGACTCGGTTATCATACACTCCACCCTCTTCTCCAATGGTGGCACACAAGTAGGGCATCACCGCTCTAGATCTGTCTTAAGTTTAACAAAACCTCTGATGTACTATAATTCACCAGGCAGTATGTTTGACATGCAATATTTTTAACACATTCCTAAATTCTCCAACAACAAAGTGATGATTTAAAAATTATAATGTATATGCGACATCTAGTCTTGGCACATTAAACTTATCTCTTCAAAGTCACAGATGAGGTCAAAGGTAATTAAAATTTGAAAAATCGGTGTTGAAGCATATATAGGTATTTGCAACTTCATGTACATATGCAACTACATAATTCCATTTGACATCACATAGTGGCATTTACGACTTGGATTCTCCCCAAAGAAATCTCATAGACAAAACTGAACTTAAACATGTGTAGCTTATAATTAGAGTATGTTGTATTTTTTGTTTGAGGACCTCGTGTTACCAACCAAATTCATGATTTGTCCACCAATAATGCTGAGCAAATTCATTATAGTTATGTGGCAGATTTTAATTGTATATAGGATTACGATCGCCTTCTAGCTTCGAGCTAGAGGGAATTTCCCTTTAGCTCAGTGGTAGAGCGTCCGACTAGGAACCTGGATATTGAGGGTTCGATCCCTGTTGGAAGCACACTAAATCATCACAGTTAGGGTCATACCAGGGCCCCTATTCACGAAACCGTCCTCATGCTCAAGCATGGATTCTGTGCTCAAACCAACTTTCTTGTAAGTCGCTTAGATCATGTCAAACGATCAAAAAGTCAATTTTAAACATTGACAACAGTATTTGGCTTTAATTTAAGTCTCTTCAAAATGTTTTCAAATCATTGACAAAATAAGATTTATTTATTAACCTTTTCACCACTGTAGACCACAGTGGACTCATCCAGATCAATGTATGGTAGAGTCTACTAAAGTTACCTAGGGGTGAAAGGGTCAAGTTACAACCAGAACAAGAAATAGGGTTTGAGCACAAAGTCCAAACGTGAGCATGAGAAAGGTTTCATGAAAACGAGCCCAGGAATCGGTGACTATGACATTATACAGGTAAATTTGTACATCAAACCAAAGATCTACATACAACCATCACGTAAAATAACACTCTAGAAACTTGCAGACTGGGAGGGACTAAAGGAACATTCGGAACATTCGTACAAACCTACATCAGAATGACACCACAACAATGTGGACAAACATTACTGAGGAACTAGAAAAAAGCCATCCACAAATGTATACCCCATAAAACTGCTAAATCTAAAAATAGAATTCCATAGGTGAAACTTCACATCAATCGGCTCATGAGGAAAAGAGACAAACTGTACATTAGATACAAGGAAAAGCCATCGGAGGAAATTGGACGGCGGCTAAAGTAGTCCAAACACGTCACACAATGATTGTGTACGGAATCGTGCTGGAGCTACGTGGAGGGCCTCGCAGTGAGAACATGGAAATCACTAAGAGATTCTGGACATCATCATGCATATGACGAAAGACACATCTAAACCCCAAACATTAAAGGACCGAGGAATAGACATCAGCGATGACCTAGGTAAGGCTAACCTCCTCAATAAACAGTTTAACTCTGTCTTCTCGGCCCAGTCACCAATGTCTTTGAAAGACATGCGTGACCAGAGGATCCTGCAAGAAAAGAAGGGTGAGGATGACATGGCAGATATTAACATTACAGTCAATGGAGTGTTTGAACTACTGAAGAGACTTAATCGTTCAAAGGCAACCGGACCAGACGATCGAGTCCTCATGGAACTTGCGTTTGAACTCGGACCTATTGTCATCACTCTCTTCAATCAGTCCTTGCAGCAGCAACACCTACCCACCATCTGGAGGAAGAAAAATGTCACTCCAATATTTAAGAAGAGGAAAAGAACAGAACCAGCTAATTATAGACCAGTGTCGCTTAGCTGCGTTCTGTGTAAACTGATGGAGCACATCATTTGTAGCCAACTAATGAAACACCTGAAAGACAAGTTTTTCACCCACTCCAGCACGGATTCAGAGAGAAGAGGAGTTGTGACTCACAACTTTTTGAGTACACATCGGAAATTGTCAACAACAGGGAAAAAGGAATTCAGACCGATGTAATTGTAATGGATTTCTCAAAGGCTTTTGACAAAGTGGCTCACACTAAACTCCTATTCAAACTGACGAAGTATGGTGTGAAGGGTTACACACTAGATACGATCTTTCCTCAGTGGCAGACAACAGAAAGTCGTCCTTAATGGAAAAGCCTCTGAAAAAAACCCAGTTCTATTCGGCGTGCCACAGGGCTCGGTCCTCGGACCTGCTTTGTTCCTAGTGTACATCAACGATCTACAAGAGTATGTAAGTAAAGCATAGTACCATCAGACTCTTTCCGGACGATACACTGATGTATCTTACCATAAAAACGAATGAACGACAGACTAGCAAACTGGGCAGATAGATGGCAAATGGAGTTTCTTCCGGAAAAATGCGAATTCATTAAGTCATGACAATCTCCAGAACAACTAACACCATCCGCCATACCTATTTCTTGTACGGTCGACAGCTAAACACAGTAAACGTCTTCAAGTATCTTGGAATTACAATCACCAAAGACTTAACATGGAGCAGTTACATCAGTTCCATAACCAGTAAGGCTAACCAGGCGCTTGGGTTCCTGAAGAGAAACCTCAAGTTCCGATCCAAGAATTTAAAGCAAAGGGACTGGTTCGACCGAAAATGGAGTACTGTGCTACCTACCGTATGGGACCCTAAAGCAGTGAGAGACTTCCATCCAGACTCCAACAAAAAACATGCCCAAGTGGATAAGATCGAAATGGTACAGCGACGTGCAGCCCGGTGGGTCCTCAACAGACATAATTACACCTCTAGTGTCACGGACATGCTATCAGATATTGGTTGGAGGACACTGGAACGCCGACGTGCTGACGTCAGACTGATAATATTTTATAAAATCCGGAATAACCTGGTCTATAGCCATCAATCCGAATGATCAGCTCATCTCATCTCGGAGCAGAGGCCGTGAACACCAGTACCGGCAGATCCAGACCACCAAAGATTATACCAGATTCTCTTTCTACCCTCGGACTGTAATCCAGTGGAACAGCTTGCCAAGAGATGTGTGCAATGCCCAATCCCTGAAGATCTTCAAGACAGAAGTCTCGAAGATCGACCACAGTCGCCTCATCTACACTTTCTCCCTTCTTACTTTCATCTTTTCTTCTCTCCTTCTTGTCTTCCTTCCCTATATATTCACACTTCTCTATGCTTTCGATTAATCTTTGCTTTATTTTTCCCTTTTGCCCACCTTGATAATATTCGAATGAAGGACTACCAGTCAACCGGTAAAAGCAAAGCAAAAGCACTATTCTCTTTCCTGTTACAAATATATAGATCATATACATAAAGGCATTCTTAAGGCCTCGTAAAATTTCTTTAATAATTAAATGTCACGTGGTAGAAAATGCATGGTGTAAGCATTTATATAGAGCTTGATTAGCTCATTAGAATCAGAACCAGGCGTCCGATTTTTTTATATTTTTTTTTTTTATATTCAAACTCTGAAACCTAGAAACTAAATCAAAATCAGTGGATTTTTTGTCATATGTTTTCATTGGTCTGTTGTCACCTTGCAAATACCAAACAGTTCAAGACCATTTATTTTAACCTGATTTGGTTGGTATTACAGGTATCGAAACGACATGTACACGATGTCTTTGACTTGAGCAAGTCTGCAATTTATGTGACAAGTAAGACAAAATTCTTTTTAATATGATGTGTTTGTTAGTTTTGCTATGCATGCTTTCTTTATGTAAAAGGAAAAACATACGCTTAATTTAAACCTTTTTTTTATCTTTTCTTTTAAATAAAACCTTTTTTTTATTCATTTTTTTTTTATATAAACTACACATTTACACACAAAGCAACAAGCATACATAACATTGAATACAATTCCCTTCACAACGGACACCTCTTTATAANGGGGTTGCAAACCATTTTTAAAAATAGTATTATGATAATTGTTCTCGTTAATTTTTAAGAGAAGACATTTTTCCACTTTATTATATTATTTTTGCAGTTTTTATGCTTATTTATCAAGATCTTATGATCTTTAAACTCGTTATATTAAGTTCCATTTCTAGACATTTCATTTTAAAAAATGTATTGTTTAATCAATAATAGGATAAGATTATCCACTATCAAATCAGCATCCTTAGAACTGAATTGTCCAAATATAAATTCCTGTTTGTCAAAATTCAAATCAATATCACTGGTTGCAAGCAATTGTTTTAGTTGTCTCAAAATTTCACATACTTTACCACAATCCAAAAATAGATGTTCAATTGTTTCTGGATTTCTTTTACAAAAAGTACAAGTTGAATTTTGTTTTATTCCCATTTTATGTAGGAGTGTGTTTGTAGTTAGATTTCTATGGTTAATTCAGTATTGAAACCATCTTAATTTAATACTATCAGTAGTTTTAAAAGGACATACATAAATCTTTTTCCATAATTTGTCCTGAATGTTAAAAACCGTAGACCATTTCCTTTGTGACGTGGGTTTTGTATCATTTTGGCATAAAACAGCATAAATATCCTGTGCCCCTTTAGTCTACCCACGGAATTAGATTCTAAGTCCGTGGTCTACCTTAATATAATATTAAGATTTAAAGGTATATTAGTTAAACAAATACTCTTTTCTAAAGCAAAGATTTCTTGTTTACTATTTATAAAACAAATAATAGACGGGTTTAAATTACCCCCTAACGTGCCCCGCTACCGTAGGTCAGAGTTGTCGTTCTTCAGTCATCACTCCACGAGATTTCAACGTGATTTCCTGGTAAATCATATGAGCAAAGATGGCAGACATAGACTATCAGCCTTCGAGGCCTTCCTCCAAGCTCTCGGGTGTTTCACTGTACCCCGTGTATGCGGTTATTTATGTTTTAGCATTTTCGGCAATCCTTGTAATAGGTGAGTTTCTTATCCATGGGAGTACATTTGCCGGAGACTGTAAATGACTGGATGACATGGCAGTGCCCTTGGGGGTCTCGAGTTGTTGACAAATCCTCGGAGCCGGGTGACGAAGGAATTCATACGATCTGACGGGAACATCACTTCTATTTATCAATCTATGTCTTTCCTCAACATTGATATTATTGAATAGCGTGTTATATTGAAAACTTATCGATAAATATTACTGTTAACTTATTCACATATGCTTGTAACTTGGCTGCGAATCTAATCGACGGATCAATCAAAATCTTGTTTTTTTTTGTTCACTTCGAATTCATGATGATGCTGTTACAGTAGCAAACCTATCATTACGTACACTATGGCTCGCCGATACCAGGTGTCGTCCTGTGTAATCAATTTGAAGTGAAGGGCCTGACAGTTTAAAATGTTCTAACCATGAAAAATGTATTATTGAATTTACTAGTCCTTATTGTATGTATAGTAAGCTGAGTAGGCTATTATGAAAACCTCTTTTGAGATGTCCACGTAGCGGTATCATGTTTTTTTTGATTTGGCAGGCCAATGGATCACTTTATGATTACAGGAATATAACCTTTGTGTTAAGGAGAAAATAGAGTTTCATAAGACAGAATTCGTAGGACTTTTCGTGATGGGTCTAAACTTTGGCTCACAGGCCTAGGTACAAGCCTCGTCTGTCAATACACCTACAATATATTATAGTTGTATTGACAGAAGAGGCTAGTACCTGTGCTTTGGATCTATAGCTCGGCTTACAGGGCCTATATTAAAAGAGAAAAATATACCATTGAGCAAGGGACCTGATTAGGGACGGCCGACAGTGTTTCCAAGGAAGCAAAGTCATTCATATTACATAAATGTGCAAAGCATATATAATTTCAGTTTTTGAGGGGGCATTAATTTTTGTTGATGATCACATTGATGCATAATAATCCGAGTTTGCACAAAATAATGAATAGAGGATGATAAATAAAGTCAACTTGAAAGTTTTACCATGATAATTCATTATATTTATTCAAGATACTATAATGATTATATACAATTTTCGTAGATTTTCTTGTACATTCATAGGATATTGGATGTCAGTACTGAAATAGGCTGCACTGTAGCTTTAGTTCATGTTAACTTTGTTTACTTTTTCAGCTTTCTATTATATACTGACAGGGAAGGGCTCAAGATTTGATTTTGGATGGTAAGACTGCAAGCCATGCATATAGGCATATAAATACCATTAACAGAAATAAAATGTTTCTGATTTAACTAGTAATTTATTTATTATTTTGCAGTCTGACATGACATTTTCATTGCAAATAACAGTTTGCTTGGTGAAATTCTTAATGACATTGACTCAGTTACATCACAGAATTAGATTTGTAAGTCCGTGGTTACATGTTGGTTTCTTGCATAAAAACTGTCACTAGTGTAAAACAAATTATAATACTGATTTGCAATATATATGTACCATTTCTTGATCATGCTAAATTGCTTATGTCATAATTGGTTCCTCTAGGTTCCTGGAAAGCACCTCTCCATTTATGTGGGCAAGTATAGGAGTTGGCCTGTCTATCTCCTTGTCGGTGGTCGGAGCTGCCTGGTAAGTGATTAACAAAACCATCTGCCACACCTCATGATAAACAATTAATGGGTATATATAATTAATGGTCAGCTAGGCACCAGTGTTATATGTTAAGACTTCCCACAGATATTTGTTTTGTCACTTAAACATTTATCCTAACCTTACCTTCTATCTGTTATCAATGGTTCATTTAAGAGGACAGTTGTCAAGAATTGCTGAATTGATTTTGACAAAATTTGGTGAAGAGCATTCAGATAAATATCTAAGACTACTCATTTAGAGCACGATCTATAAGGGTTTTTAACCAAATTTTGTATTATAATTCCTAAGCCAAGAAAATGGATTAAATACTGTCTATTGTGTGTTTGTAAGCCTTAAATTTGATTTACATTATATTAACTGCTTCACAATTAGGGGGAAAATAAAATGAGAATACTGAGCTAAATATGTACATAGTGCTTTTATGATTTATGTAAAATGCAAAATGAAAAGTTGAGTATTCAACATTTTACAGGGGAATTTTCACCACTGGAGTCAGCATTCTTGGAGGTGGAGTGAAGGCCCCTCGTATCAAAACAAAGAACCTGATCAGTATCATCTTCTGTGAGGCTGTAGCCATCTATGGTATCATCATGGCCATTGTTATCGGGGGCCAACTCGGTGTAAGTATACACTTACAAGTCTGTTTGTCTTTCCTCTAGGTATTTTATAGCTTTTTAGCCAAATGGTTCTCTCACTGGAGTCTACATGTAGCAGCTCTTTAGCATGAAAAACAACAAGTGACAATAGTATCGTATGTATATTATTTATTTATTTATTTCATTATCCATCGGACTTCAGGATCCCGGAGCTACGCTGGTGAAAGCTCACCGATACCTGACTTTATAATAATGAATGAAACATATCTTTGTCTACAACTCTTACCAGCTTACACACTGTCTAAACTGACCAAATGATTTATAATGATGTCAGTATAGACAGGAATCACTGTAAAAAACATAGTTAAAGTTAGATCAGTGTCAATTGATGAAACCATTTCAGTTTTTTAGACAGCATTGTCTTACTGATGTGCTTAACTCTTTAAGGTTAAATGTTTCTAACTTCTGTTTTTTTTACATTTCAGTCCTATGACCCTCTCACTGCATCTGAAACTGTAATCAGGGATTCCCATTATGCAGGTAATAGGATGGAGTATCTACACGTTAAACCCTACAATCTGTTACATAATTAATCACTACTTATTACAATTTTAAAAATGAAAAAACAACATAATTTCTTGTTTGAAGCTGATAGCGACCATTTTTAGCTTTGGTATGGTCAATAACAAATTCAACGTTTTAAACAAGAACCCTTTGTCTGCAATTATGTAGTCTCAGGGTACTGAGTTTAGCTGGACAAACCGTTCTGTTGTTGTTAACAGTTGTTGATAGTCCATGTGTAAATTCGACTCATTTAGTCATTTCAGTGGAACCCCTATCTCTTCTGTAACCCTGAACACCATATTGGATGCTTTAATATTAAAAAAAAAATACCATCATGTATTATATGATGTTGAAATTGCTGCTATTTTTGACACGAAACATTTAAGCCATTTCCTGTAGATTTATTCTTCATATATACAATACATATATGATGCATCTTACATACTTACATATGACAATTTGAAATTTGAGTTTTTGGAAACAAAATATAAACACAAAAGACTGAAACCATGCCAAGGGAAGTAACTCAAAGCCAGGAAAAGACTTTACTATGGTAGATTGCTTTGTCTTCGATAGGGAAAATGATCCTAACTGCAAATAGGCTCCGAGGTAGAACTCTTCTTTGCAAATATAAATTGTGCAGTGGTACCAATTTACCTAATACATTTAAAGTTCCGTGTTATAGCACCTGAGCAGTGCTAGACAATAAGGGTAACCATCTAGTCTCACTCAGACTAGTGAAATATCCTGCTGGACTAGTGTTTCTAAAAACGGTTAGCCTGATTGACTAGTCAAAATTTGATATTGCTTATCTTGTTGAATAATGTTGGGTTAGTGAAATTTGCACATGGACTATTAAAAGTTGGAAACTACTTCTACTCCATCCAATTGACTGGTGATATTGAAAATTAATTACTAGCCCTGCCAGAGTCTGTCCTTCCCTTTACATATGTATTGTGTATAACTACCTCCTTATATGTTGATGTAGGCTTCCAGATGTTTGCTGCTGGCCTCACCGTCGGGTTATCTAACATTGCCTGTGGAATCAGTGTTGGAATTGTTGGATCTGGTGCTGCTTTAGCCGACGCCCAAAATGCCTCTCTTTTTGTAAAACTCCTCATCATAGAAATCTTCGCCACAGCTATTGGTCTCTTTGGAATCATTGTTGCTATCCTGCAGGTAAATAAACAATGTGATTTGTCTGTTTCCTTACCAATGTCATCTTCATTGTATTCATTTGAAAAGAAAATGTTTACTTTTAATTAAATTTGTAACTATGCAAATATCTGCATCTTAATTAAGTAATATATTACTCATTAGTTTTGAATTCAGAGAAAAAACTTTGGTCAAACCTGGTCAAAGGAATCATTTGTAATAAAAAAATAAAAAAATAAAAATGCCCGATTCATTTTATTTTTTTATCCATTACAAACTTCCAAATTGACTAATCATTTTAAAATTGTTTGAACCTATGCATATTCTGGTGTGTGCATTTATATTTCATTTCAGAATGTATTGAATTATGCAATGGTTTTTGAATTTAAAAAATACATTGTTTTGAGTCATTGTAGATATTTTTATTTCTGAAATATATAAAAGTATCAATCATATGCTTGTCACCACAAGCAATATATTGAATTAATAAATGTTTTCAAGCCAAATAATATGCATTCTTCTAACCCCCACCACAGATCACTGGAGTGAAGATGGGATCAGATTAGCTGCTGTCTCCGACCATTGTTACTGTTGTGAATGTGAATAGCTGAGAACACTGTCACCTCTAGGGCTAACAGAGAACCATTTATTGCTGCTTGGCTCAATCTGAAGTTTTGTCTAGAGATGAAAGAGTGATATGTTTTTTCCATTTACTGTATAAATGACACTACCAGTACTCCCTGTACAAGAAGAGTTGCTATTCAGTCTATATCAGAAATCAGTAGAATCTAAAGACAAAGACCAGTAGGGACCAAATTGTTCAGATTTTCAGCCATTTTTCTTCTTTTGTTTCTCCCAAAAAAAAATCGTCAAAAGATTAGTTTGAAATTCTGTATCCAACACTAGCTTCCTTTATTACAAGACACGTAAGTTTCTGCAATAAAAATAAATCAATCATTAACAAAGATCAATTTGTTTTTATAAAGTGAAAATGTAAAATTTGACCTATCAACATTTATTTGGCATAACATGAAATAAACATATTGTTTTGTTTGGCCTAAATATTGTACTTGTAAGCTGAACAGGCTACAATTGTGAAGTCTCGTTGACTGAATATAATGTCTTGTAAGGGCAGTATTAACAGGGGATGAAGGCACCAACATTTCAAATGAGGGTCTCTGAAAAGTAGCTTTCCTATGGGTTATTTAGGACTCATCTTAAAAGAAGCATAGTTGATGTTTGTTATGGTAAATATCAACACTAACTGTATTTTGATCCATGTCAAAACTAAGAAATCCTGGAGGACATTTTTGTTTTTGTTGTAGATTCGTATTCAGAATAATATTTATACATATAATACTATTAATATATTGTATATATTTGACATATGTTATGCTTCAATTCGGATGTCTCTAAATGAAAAAAATATTTATCAATATTACAGGCAGACCAGTTCATGCTTTTTGTTCTTTTGTTAATGTGGTATTTGTTTAAGGGTGAAAGAATTCTTGTTCATACAAAGCTTTTCTTTCATAGTCACTTAAACAGTAACTGAATAGATTTACACCCTAGTCAAGACAAAAATGTATTTACTTTAGCTGTTAATAGAGAAAAGACAATGTTACATTGTGTCAAGTGTTTCAGGTAACACTAGATACACTTACCATTGACTTCTGGCTGAGAAAGCTGTTGTTATATGAACTAGAATTTTGTTCATGTTTTAAAATGGTCATAGCTTCATCAGTAACCAAGAGCTGTAAATGTTGAGCACTGTACTAATTTTGTTGTTTACATATTAGTGATTAATGTGGTGTCAAATATATTGTTAATTACATTGGAAGTATGGATTTGGAACATTCATAGGTTGTTTTTCTGACATTCCATTAGAGCTCCACATTTCTTCCAGCCTTTAAAAAAAAATTAAAAAAAATGGGATCAATTTGAATGTTAAGTGGTATTTTTGTTCGATAAAATATCATGCATGTAAATCTAGGATATTAAAAATAGAAAAATTGGATAGTTCTGTGTTTACCACCGAATAGTGCAGTAAATTCAAACATCAATTATTTTCCTTTCCAAAGTTGGTTGAAATATTTTATCTGATATTGTATTCATTGTGTTCCATTCCAACTGTATTAGTTAACAAGTATGTTAGTTGAGTTGGGTTGTGTGAAAGAGGAGTAATGTAAATATGAAAGAAGAATAAAAGAAAATTGTGAAGTGTTTATTATATAAAATGTGATTATATTTGTTTTATATTATGATTATGGTGCATGGTAAGAAAACAAGCCTCTTGTCCATATCATTGGGAGACAGTTTTTGGCACAATTAAAAGCAAACCAATATTCTCAACATTGTCTTTATTGTGTTCAGGTTTTCTAATCTGTTGTCAACCATACGTCTTTAGAGTTACTTCCCTTCTTATCTTCAGAAGTGGACATACTTTTAAAATATCAACAAAAAGTACCTACATTTTGTTGTTACTACAATATCGTATTGTATGACGGGGAAAGGAGAACAATCAACAAACCAGCAGGTTGTAAAAGACATTATATTTCATTGTCAAAATACTGATTTGCCAAATGTAATGGACATGAGCTGATATTAAAAAGTGGCTAAAGGTGGGTTTAATTCATGATTATGTTTTATGAAATGTGATATTGAGTTTCATCTGACACAAGATGGCGGTTTTATAAATGTAACCAAGAACAAAGTGATATTCATCTGATATATATAACAATAAAGAAAAGTTAACTGAATATTCGTTGAGATTGAGAAATTGTTTTGTGGATTCTAAATGAACAAGGTTTAACTGCTAATATTATTGCTTATTACAGTTTCAAAATGATTTTCTGTTTGAACATATTCAATTGCAAAGAACAAATTTGTTATGTAGAATTGATGTTGCTAATTTTGGTTCTTGAATTCATTTTAATAAAGATATGATTGCATAAGGTATAGATATGTGTGACATGAAACAAATGTTGATTTCAAATTTTCTAGTCAAATCAGTAGTTATTAAATATGGATCGTGATAAAATTAGAGGATGTAACGTTTTGTCTTATTACCTATCTACTATGGCCACAATGACTGAATGAAAAGTGGGAAGAGAAATGTAATTGTAGATATGTAGTTGTTAGTATTTAGTGCATATGATCAGTGTCGATCAATAAACATGGTATGAATATAAGGTTTTTGTTTTATTTTGTTTCCCAATATTTGTATAAGCCTGTCGAAGACGGGTTGTATTATGTTATTATGGGAGCAGGCGGGCGTGTGCGCACAATGTCCACTCTATATCAAAGAAATTTCAACAGATTAGCTTCAAACTTCATAGGAAGATTAACTTCCATGAGAGCTAAGACAAGTTCGATAACCTCCATTGTCCAACTGTAATTGAATGAATTATGTCCCTTTAATCAATTGCTTCATCAAGTAATTTCCAATGGCTGAACACCAAGCTTCATTGGAAGGTTAATTACCATGAAAGGTTGGATGAGTTTGATGACCACCAGGGTCTGACCGTAATTTACGGAGTTACGCCCCTTTATTCAGTTGATGAATGGGTGCCTCGGTAGCCGTGATCGCTGACGCGCGCAGTCATTGTACTACTGTGTACAATCAAGCGTGAGCTTCAGACCACTCGCTCTCCAAGAATTTCGGTTCGATCCCCAGCGGTGGTGGAAAAAATGAGAGTGATGTCTGATAGGGTTAGTTGTTATCCCTCCGATGGCACGGTGGGTTTTCCTCCACCACGAAAACACAATTTGTTCCCTTAGCAGCGTCGTAATAAAAGCTCAAAGGAAGAGTAATGGAACGGATGTTTTTGATAACTACCATTATCTAACTAATTTTTTGCTAACCAGGTCCTAAAAACCAAGGTGAGCTTATGCCAAACTTTGAAATTGGAATTGAACTAAATTTGCCTGGGAGCTTCCCTAGGAGGTGGGGATTCAAAATTGTACAAATGGTGGGGGCTGACCCCCGCTCCCCGAGGGTGCTGAGCGGAGGGGCCAAACGTGGACAATTTGGCTATATTGCTATAAACGACTTCTATTCTAGACCTAAGCACTGATTATCAATCATATTTGGTTAGAAGAATTCATGGGAGGTGGGGATTCAAACTAAGTGATGAATATCAACTATATGTTGTTAGAAGCATCACCCCCTGGGCTAAAGGGTGGGGCCAAAACTAGTTTATAACTATAAAATGGTTGGGATATCCACCCTATATCTATATATAAAATGGCAGAGTATAAAGAGATGAATGAAAATATGCTTCCATGATGGCCTCGGGGTCTGCCCCACCCTTGGATACTTAGTCCCTTGGTCATAACTTTGAAACGGTTGAGATCCCCACCCCAAAACTAAACATACAATTGGTGGGCAAAAAGCGATGAATGCAGTCATGCTATTAGAATTGACCCCGGGTCTGCCCCATCCTTGGAGACTTAACCCTTGTGTCATAACTGAAACGGTTGAGATCCCCACCTGCAAACTATATATATATACATACAATTGCTGGGCATAAAGAGATGATCATAATCATGATATAAGCATTAACCCTTGGGTCTGGCCACACCCATTGGGACCTAGTTTCTGAGTCACAACTTAGAAACATTTGAGATCCTCACCCTATAACCATATATGCAATTGCTGAGTACAAAGAGACGAATGCAAATAGGCTTCCAGGATTGTCCCGGGGTCTGCCCTACCCTTAGAGACTTAACCATTGGGTCATAACTTTAAAACGGTTGAGATCCCAAACCCAAAACTAATGTATACATTTGCTGGGCAGAAAGAGACGAATGCAGTCATGCTATTAGATTTGACCCTATGTGCCTGGCCCTATCCATTGGATCTTGTTCAGAGAATATTGTGCCATGATTGCTGAGCGATACAGGCCCTCTGGACCTCTTGTTTAAGTTATGCAATTTAATTTATACATCTTATCATGAGCATATCAACCCAAAACGTCCACACGGTATACATAGTATCATCATACCCTACCTCTTATACTTCTATACTAGCATCAGCCATGATTCATATAACCGACATATGTACCATCACGAAAAGGTCAATCTCAAAGCAAAGGTCAGGAGCAACCCCTCCCTAACCATCGTACAACAACTCAAGCTCACATCAGGAACAGGGGATGAAAGGGTCCATGGGAGTTCTTCCGCCTTGACGACATCAGAGTACTAGTAGTCAAAGTCAGAATTTCTTTATGATAGTAGCACGCACTTGTAAGAACATATGGCCAGTAACACTAGTCAAGGGTAACATCAGTAGGAGGAAGAAGTACGTGGTAAAAGAAATCCAAGAATGTAAGCTATAAGGCATTTATCTCAAGGAACTATATAATGAACAAGAGGAGCACACTGTTATAGGGAATGGCTATTGGCAGTGACAACTTACTTGGTGCTACACAATTCGCACGAGGTTTTATAAACAAGTTATGGAGAAAGATGACGATCACGATGTAAAAATGATAGAATAAAGATGTTGATGGAAACAACTAGAATCCAGTAAACCAAGATTACAACGGAAAAGGGAGTATAATTGATTGTCCACTTATCTTAATGAGTTATTTTTGTCCAGTCGGTCATTTTCTCATTTACACAACAATTAAAACATAATTTTATAACCTATTTCGGTCTTTTTTATTGGCACAGGAAAGCGCACAGTAGGACTTAAGCTGGGAGGAAACCGAAGTACCCGGATAAAATGCAGGTGATCCAATACTTTTCCAAGTCCAATCGGGAAATCAAACCCAGGCCAATATTGGTGAAAGGCGAGTGGGCTATCAACTCCACCACACAGAAGACTTCTACTTCGTAGGAGTAAGCAGTAAAAACGGATCAAGATATTTTCCAACGACATCTTCTTTTTAAACATACCTCCGTTATGTAAAGTATACATAAGTTTCTCTTATAGTGAAACAAATATTAGACTGAATACTCATAATCAAATCATGACAGTAAACTTTGTAAACTACAAATATGTGTTTACTCAGTATTGTCCCAGATAGTCAGCAGTTAGAGAGTTTACCATTAAGGTAGAAAGGTCCTCGCTTAAATATCATATTTTTTCTATTAGATGGCAGCTCGCATATTATCATCAGCTGTAACTTTTAAAGCCATTGAGTCATTTTATGGATACAGGAGTTTTATTGTCAAATCAATTACGCAGACAAGGATTTCGACCGGAGAAGGTTAAATCTGCGCCAGATAGGTAACTATGATGTCATTATGATTTCATTGTATGGAATTAGGTTTGACGTGCTCACCAAGCCTTCGATCTGTTTTATTTTACTGAAACATTTTTTTTTCGATTTGCAGTAGAAATTTTAACGAGTGTATGAAATGAAAATGTTCAAATATAATTCCACTTTCATCTTTAAATGACTTGAACATGACGCATTTGAATCTGCATTCTGTGGAAGTGAAAATTAGAGATGGCCATTTTTTTTTATAATTCAGTGTTGACGTCATTCTGCTTTCGGTTTACATCCATTGCAAATATATGCACCATGATTAAGCAGGAATGTCTTTTTTTTACTAAGGGTTCCAAAATCGAAATTGTGCCAAAACTGTTCCGTCCCCGTAGTCGATTAAATTACAGGGACACAATGCATTTAGATAATAAAACATAAAATTAACCGCGACAGTATATATCTTATTTTTATATTGTGTTAGGTTGTACTGAAATTAGTAAGGCCCTAAATTAATAATACTAAACAATAAGTATTATCGCAATATATACATTTTTCTGACCTGTACATTGCCATTGATCCAACTTTCATGTAGATATATATAGATAGTATATACAAAGAAAGCATATTCTTGTGGTGGTGTCATAACCTTATCAATTGCTGAACTGAAATAAAGTCTTCCCCGGTGAACCGAAGTACTAAGAAACTCGTATGTCGTTTCCTTTATCATATCTAACCATCTCAAAGAATTAACATTTCTTCAAAACTTTTGAAATTTTTGGTAAAATTTCCTTCAAAACTCCTGACACTCGTTCAAATGACGACAGCAGAGCCCGGGTTATTTATATACATTACTTTTTGTACAACACAAAATCTGCAGGCCAGAGACCAGAATCTGGCATCATAAATAAGGAAGTATCATGAAATAGTATATCCTTATTAATTTGATTTTAATAGGATCCATTACATGCATAATTTTTTTGGTACATTTTATGAACATTTGTTAAGATTCGGGGTACGGATATAAAGGAGTGTACGTATTTATCATATCCAACTGACCTCCCGTGTTGCACCACATATATGACATGTCGCCCCGTACACAATGGCGGACATATAGAGATAACGTCTAAGTAACCTTCTACCAAACTTCTCAAACTCCAAAAGGAATTTGACGCGCCTTTGTTGCTTCAATACATCATGTTCAATAGAGGTTTATATAAACGGCCGAATAATTAAAGCCGGACAGCCAGAGTACAATACTGGAATTTGACATAAAGTCATCCCATATTTGGCTGTCTATGGAACCAGGTAAGCTCCAAATAGCGTTCTTTTCATCACTGCCCGCCGCTCCATGTTAATCTTAATTGCTCCGGCCATGTTAGCTGAGCTTCCCTTGTACATTGACATTGATTAAAGTCCATGTAGATATATATAGATATTCCATAATGTGTTTAGATAGTATATACAAAGAAAGTATATGCTTGTGGTGGTGTCATAACCTTATCAATCACCGAACTGAAATATAGTCGAGGAATGATAATACAATGTCACCCCGTACATGATGGCGGACATATAGAGATAGCGACGTTATCATTTTATTCCTGCTGTAGCCTCATTTAACGGGTCGAGGAGGTCTGCATATCTGGGAAGCACGCGACTGAGTAATTTGTATGTGCCGATAAATGATCGCAGGCCCTGTGCAGCAGCAGGGGGTTCGGTAGATGATACGACAGCCACTTTGTGAGGGCTTAAATATATTTTGGAAATTTTCTTCGCGTATATTGCGTGCTGTTTCTTTTTATCATTATCAACACCACAGAAAATATACAGATTCGAGAAATCAGTAGGAATTATAGCGAATAGATATGGAACAAAACAGGTATACTACCATGGAAATTACGTTTTTGATATTAGTGCTTTTTGTATTACCTGGGAATAGTCAAACGCCTTGTCCAACGGGTTGTGTGTGCCAAAGCCCCTTTACGGTTAGTTGTAGTGCAGGATTCACGGCGTTTCCGTCACCACTAACCGATACCATCAAATTGCTCTCAATTAATGGAAACTACATGACACACAACAGTATCCCTACCATACATCGGAGTGACTTTCAACCCATGCCTGGACTAGTTTCGTTACAAATGGCTTATTGCGAAATTAACACAATCGCAGATGACACATTTTTATCTCGGGCTTCGTTGACATATCTAGATCTGTCATATAACAACATTCCCCGAATAACTGACAAGACATTTTTGGGGCTAACAAATCTGGTTTCCCTACAGATCAGCGGGAATCCGCATTGTGAGCTGAGCGAAAAGACTTTTGATAGTCTTTCGAATCTGGAAGAACTCTATATTGCCGAAATGGACTTGGAACGCCTTCTTCCTGTTATGTTCACAAATTTGAAACATCTCAGACTTTTGGATGTCCATGGAAACAAAATATGGAAAATTGAATTTGATTTTGGGGCTGTATTCCCGAACTTACAACACTTGGATTTATCGAGAAACCTTCTAAAGGGACTGTCCAAACGGTACAACGACACGTTTTCACATCTCACTACAGTCAAAATGTCGGGAAATCCACTCCAATGTAATTGCGAATTACGATGGTTAAAGCATTCAACGAAAAAGGCTCTGGACCCTGAATATGCCAGTGACGCATTAGTTTGCTACGGCCCAGAACGTCTGAAATATGCTCCGATTTTGCGCGTTCCTGATTTAGAGTTTAAGTGTGTTGCACCCCAAATAGTCAATTGTACAACTGAAACGTACGTTGTGATGGAAACGTCATCCCTTCGGATGTGGTGTGAATTGGGGGGAGATCCATATCCGGATGTGACCTGGACAAGATATGATGGAAAGAATGTAGAATTCACTTACGAAAACACTTCAAACTACTATGTTTCTAGAACAGGATCCTTGGATATTTTCAACGTCTCACAGGCCGATGACGGTACGTGGACACTCGGTGTCAGCAATTCAATCGGTCAGAAAAGTCATCAACTGAAAATAGTTGTTACCCCCAAAACAACCACCACCACAACAACGTCAACAACAACAACAACCACAACCACAACCACAACCTCGCCGACGACGACAACAACAACATCGACAACAACGCCTACACCAACCACATCGACAACAACGCCGACGGCGACAACGACAACATCAACAACAACGCCGACAACATCAACGCCGACAACATCAACGCCGACAACAACCACATCAACAACGCCGCCACAGACGACACCAACTACAAGTACTTTGAAATCTACAACCGCAAATACGATATTAAGCAGCAGCGAGTATCAGTCAGCTAATGGGGGTACGGTAACCCATAAAGCCCCCGATCATGTAAACCCTAACCCGACTAACATCCCACCAGATGACAATGACAAGACAGACGACGATAGCGATGAGGTCAAACCAACTAATAGGGCAGACGAAGACGGTGGTGGAATGAACATGATGATGATAGCAGGAGCTGGCGGAGGAGGTCTACTTCTGATCGTCCTCATCGCCGTCATCGTCTACTGTGTGAAGAGGAAGAAGGGCAGTAACCGGGTGGAGGACATCAGCATCCGACAGGACAATGACTTTGATTCGGTAAGATCTCCACGTCGTCACCGTGTTAATGATTTCTGAAGAAAACAAATGACACTAGAGGAAGTAACATAGGAGGATGTTTCGTGTGCAGTGTTCGCATCTATTATAATTTCATCTTGCTCGCCCTTGATTTAGACGACAAAATAGATGTGGGCAAAATATGTTCAAAATATTATGATTGTGCAACAATGGAAAACATTGGGGAGACAGGAGGACTAACACAGTACGAGTGGTTTAAATATTGTAGTTTACAGTGTCTCTCGGTTATTGTGATTCTATGTAGTCGCTACTTTTATTTAATGTGACTGTGATAACATTTATACAGAAATGATTTTACCTTTGAACTGTTAATTTTATTTGAATAATCCGATTCAGCATATATAAGCGAATTGAAGTAATATAGTTCCATAAATGAATATTAATGTTTCAATATTGTGCTTCTATCACACGTAATTAAAAAATGCAAAACAGGGGAAACGCGTTGGTAGCCATTACGTCTACTAGGAACATACTTAATGTCAATTATAGATATCAACTTAATCGAGAGTCGTATCGAGAAGATAATTTTGTGTTGTATTATTTTACAACAGAGGTTATTTTTTATTACTATTTATTGCTAGTCTTTGTTGTTATGCAAACATCAAAGCATGAGTTGTATTGTAAATGCTTGTAACTTTAACAATAACGAGGAGATATGTAAGCTTCAAAATCGAATGACGCATTATAAAATCTATAAAACCTAACAAATCAAGTTTTCTTGTTTGAAATAAAGACCTCTGAACAAAACATTAAATAGGTCGAATAGATTTTTATTCCGGCATGATGAATATTTGGAAGGTATTTGGAATTCACAGAATAGTCCTAACATAGTAAATGTTCAACATTCGCGAATAATAAACGCCACACTACAGCACTAGATTTATCTTGATATGGATCGTAAAAGATTTTAGTATTAACTTTTTTTAATCTAGTTTATTACCGCGTCGGTATTTAGGACGTTAGATTATAATGGAAGATTACATTAACATACAGTTTAAAAGATGAAATAAGTTAGTTTCTAGTACCTCTACTTCATGTTGTGGTTTCATAAAATAATCTAAACTTATCCGAGATGTTGGATACATATATAATATTATAATATTCGCATAGAAATAATGGATATAAGAAACTCCTGTTGGTGAATTGAGTGATTATAGGAATAAGACAATGACTGGTTATTTTTTTAAATTCGTCTCATTTTCAGGTCAGGCTTATAGTGTTTTAGTTTTATTACATGTTTAGAATATTAATTAAGTGTAAGGTGTGATATTGTAATTAAAGCATATGCATTCATTTGAAGAGAAGATATGATACATATGCTTCTTTTCGTTAAAATTTGTTGATTTGTAATTGTTACTGATGATATCTCTACATTTCGTGTAAATAGTACTTTGTTATTTATTTTTTTGTATTTTTTTTTAATAGATTGAACCATATTTTCTTGTTATTGATTTTTCATGTTAAATAATTCATGCTTAACGTATATTTGCGGCGAATGTGTTTTACTTATTTATGTAGACTAATCTTAATGAATTTTATTCATACATAAAAATAAATATTCAAGAAAACTGTGAAAATACGTTCACGTGAAATGAGAGTCTTGTTTATGTTTGTGGTTGGCTTGTTATTCTGTTAAATATTCATATTCAGGCATTATTGTGAAAGAATCGTGCAATTGGGTTGCTTGTTGCCTTGTTTTGTTGTCTACTATATGACACATGACATGTGCTCGTTCGAACTATACAATTCCTCCTGCACTTTATTTTGAATCCGGGATTTTTTTTTTGTTGCACAATAAAACCTTTGGCGATTCCATTGACTTTGTCTGTTTATTATTTGTTTTTGCTTTGTTTTAATTTCACGTACATTATATGGCATCGTTTGTTACGTTATTTTTATCGGGGAATAATTATTCTAATCATAACAAGCAACACGCTGATAACTTATTTATTCTCACAATTTTGAGGAACTTGCTATTTCAATTTCTGTTTCCTTTCGTTTTTTTCATGCTGTCAGCTAATAAGAAAAAATGATTTCTTATATCACGATCATTTTTTTTTCTGTTCATACATCATGTGACAATTCCTACAATAAATTTAATCAACCGATTAAGTAAATCAGTTTTAATTTTCTCACCAAATTATCGTTGTTTCCATGACCTCATTGAGGTTACTTATACGGATTGATATTTCATAAAGAGCAGATAATCCGGCAATCCTTATTCCCAGCAAAGGTGGCAGGAACACTGACTTGGTAGTTGGACAACCCGGTAAGTGGCGCTTAGATGAGCAGGGCTCGACTTTTAAGCATGGGTAAATTAAATTTCTTACATTCTTATGAATTGACAATCTAATAGTTTTCTAAAGAACAATGGTCCGTACCGAACATGTTACCAGGGTGTTCTTTGTTATATTTCACATATATCAACAATGGGAAAAACGATGATGTGACTTAAGTCACTCTGGGGCATCAAACAACGGCAAAGTGAAATTGAACAGGATGTCTATCCACGGTTAACATTGTATATTCTAACGAATTTGACGTCTTTCAGAATGTGTTTTAATTGATTATATTAATCTAATTCGTTTTGCTTGTCAATTTTGCACTATAAATCATTCATTCTTTATTTTCATCCATGTATGTTTCAAGCTGGATGACGGCTAATACTTGTCTTAAGTGTCTCACTTTCTTCACCGAATTCCAATGCATAAAAACGTCATTCATGCTTCCATTTCTAAATATTTTTGGACAAATATATTTAGGTCTGTGAATTGATTTTAACTAAATCTATCATTAAAGAACAATATCAAAAATAAGTATGATAATTTCGAGATCAATGAGTATATGTGAAGTCTTCCTTTAATATTTTACATTTTAAAAAAGAAAGGAACGAACTAAACGTGTCGTAGTATTTCTTCATTATTAGCTTTAATTATTGTGTTTGACTTAGAAATCATACAAGTATATTTTAAGCCTTATTCCATTACGTTGTTTTGTTGACGTTTTCATGACTGAAATTAACATTATCAATTTACGAAGAGGACATCATACTTCTGCAGTCAGAGTACATGTATTAAAAACAGTTATAATGCTAGATTATTGACTCCGTTGTCTTTGATTCAGTCCCTAATTGAATTGAAAAAATATCCATCAGACTGATTTATCGAAGTCTTATATTTCATTTTAGCACATGTATTTTTAATTATAATAAATTATATAATTACGTTTTCTAAAAAAAGAAACTTCATGCTATTAAGTTTATGAATATTAAGTAATAAAACTATTTTTTAAATAAAATTCTTTATAAACATAAGGAGAACAAAAACAATAACATAAAGACAAAGTCAATCCTCATTATATCGAAACACCGGGACAAAAGAATTCTGTAAAAACACTACTAAATAAAACATTTACTTTAGTAGCTGATTCTTCAAACGATTTATTGGATTTTGCCGAATGGTCGGTTATGACCAGAACTTGGTGGTTACACCCACCGATCAATCCATATTGCACAGATCATAATGACGTAGACGCAGTGTAGATACTGTGACCAAAGGTTCAAATATTCGGATACGTATAGGAATGTCAGTGTGAAACTTACAATAGTTATATATATCTAACTTACTTGTTACGCTTTGGGTGACCAGGAGTCGCCCATGCACTTTGGAATGTCAAACTCAGAGAAGGGCGTGACAGGGGGACAATATAAAGGGTGTGGCTAGAGGATTAAGTATCAACCTAATTGTCAGTTAACAAGTGAAAATGCAGTCTTCATAAATATTGAGATAAAATTAAAATTAAATTAAAATAAATGAAATGGAATCCTTTAATCATCTATTCTTTTTTATTCATTAACACCATAAAACGAAGAGAAAAGAACAAAAGTCATTACAATTGTAAATAATTTGTATAGTTTTCCTGGAAGAGTTACAGGAATGCCATGTCAAAAAGCGAATCTGCAAAACAAATAAAACTCACATTAGCGCAACCACCGAAATATAATTGATTGAACACTGTTCTGCAATATGACAAGAAAATGAATATTGCACGAAGAAGAAAGCCCACGTATCGATGGAAGGAGTGTTTGTCATAGTTATCGTATAGATCGTGTAGAGGAACTGTCACCAGCTGAGTTATACATATTGCATACCTTATAATGTATTAAATACCGACATCACTACTGACCCCGCCCATATAAACGTCATTAGTTTGGAGTTTGTGTGTATAAATATATACATATTGCATACCTTATAATGTTTTAAATACCGGCATCACTACTGACCCCGCCCTTATAAACGTCATAATTTTTGGGGTTTGTGTGGATAAATATATACATATTGCATACCTTATAATGTATTAAATACCGACATCACTACTGACCCCGCACATATAAACGTCATTAGTTTGGAGTTTGTGTGTATAAATATATACATATTGCATCCCTTATAATGTATTAAATACCGGCATCACTACTGACCCCGCCCTTATAAACGTCATAATTTTTGGGGTTTGTGTGGATAAATATATACATATTGCATACCTTATAATGTTTTAAATACCGGCATCACTACTGACCCCGCCCTTATAAACGTCATAATTTTTGGGGTTTGTGTTTATAAATATATACATATTGCATACCTTATAATGTTTTAAATACCGGCATCACTACTGACCCCGCCCTTATAAACGTCATAAGTTTGGGGTTTGTGTGTATAAATGTATACATATTGCATACCTTATAATGTATTAAATGCCGGCATCACTACTGACCCCGCCCATATAAACGTCATAAGTTTGGGGTTTGTGTGTATAAATGTATACATATTGCATACCTTATAATGTATTAAATACCGTCATCACTACTGACCCCGCCCATATAAACGTCATAAGTTTGGAGGTTGGGTGTATAAATATATACATATTGCATACCTTATAATGTTTTAAATACCGGCATCACTACTGACCCCGCCCTTATAAACGTCATAATTTTTGGGGTTTGTGTTTATAAATATATACATATTGCATACCTTATAATGTTTTAAATACCGGCATCACTACTGACCCCGCCCTTATAAACGTCATAATTTTTGGGGTTTGTGTTTATAAATATATACATATTGCATACCTTATAATGATTTAAATACCGGCATCACTACTGGCCCCGCCCATATAAACGTCATAAGTTTGGAGTTTGTGTGTATAAATATATCCATATTGCATACCTTATAATGTATTAAATACCGGCATCACTACTGACCCCGCCCTTATAAACGTCATAATTTTTGGGGTTTGTGTGGATAAATATATACATATTGCATACCTTATAATGTTTTAAATACCGGCATCACTACTGACCCCGCCCTTATAAACGTCATAATTTTTGGGGTTTGTGTTTATAAATATATACATATTGCATACCTTATAATGTATTAAATACCGGCATCACTACTGACCCCGCCCTTATAAACGTCATAATTTTTGGGGTTTGTGTGTATAAATATATACATATTGCATACCTTATAATGTATTAAATACCGGCATCACTACTGCCCCCGCCCATATAAACGTCATAAGTTTGGGGTTTGTGTGTATAAATGTATACATATTGCATACCTTATAATGTATTAAATACCGGCATCACTTCTGACCCCGCCCTTATAAACGTCATAAGTTTGGGGTTTGTGTGTATAAATATATACATATTGCATACCTTATAATGTATTAAATACCGGCATCACTACTGACCCCGCCCATATAAACGTCATAAGTTTGGAGTGTATGTGTATAAATATCTGCATATTTATAAAGCAAATGCAGCTCCTGAACCTATGTCGAACTGTGGTACTCTATTACATGTCTGCTGGGGGATATTTACATAGTACCCATTAAAACACTGGGGCTTTTATCATAGGTCTGACGACGACTTTGATATTACTGTTACTGACTGAGATATGCGGTGTTTTTTTTTAATTCAAATACTTATATTTCCCTTTCATAATTGTTTTTAATTGGTTTTTGTCGTTTTTATGTTTACGGTGTGTCTCCCAGCATACCCTAAATATAATATATCGATATAAACGGGTGATGACGTTTTAATTGATTCCAACAATGATTTGCCAGTGAGTGGCACCATACGTCCACTAAGCCTGAAATCATCGAGCACTGACATACATACAGTATAACCCCGATATACCGCCACCTACATACAGTATAACCCCGATATACCACCACCTTCCGTTCAAAGACATTTTGTATTATATTGTGGCGGGTGCAACAATTGATCTAAGCTGTCTTTTTGGTGTCTTCTGTTGTTACTGCTATCTGTTTTGGTGGTTTTTTCTCGTTTACACCATTTTGTTGATTTTGTTATTGTGTAATCACACTGTTTGTTTTCGTCTTTTTAGTTGAAATTGTGAAGTGTTTTTGTCAATGTATTGACAGTATGTTTTCGTTTCGAGTGTTGATGCTATATTGCTTTTGTGTGTTGACGTTTTTGCAGCATATAACTTTTTGTGTCGACACGTCGGCATTCTCTTGTTTTGTTTTATTTTGTTGTTTTGTTCTGTTTTTCACTTCAAAAATCAACAAGAGAATACCGACGTGTTAAGATAATTGATTAATCAATAATTATACCTTCAGGGTAAAAAATACCACTATCAACTTATCATGGTTCGTGATATCAAAGTTCATCTAAATGAGACTCAGCGAACCTTTGTGTAGGACCCGGATGTTATATACGCACTTCTTTGCCACGTCAGTTCAGTTTCTTCCTATTCGATAAGAATACGTCGGGAGTGTTTACGTATTAAGATTCAATTATTAGGTTGCAACTTTGCTCTCCATTACACTCATGTTCTCACGTGTATCACAAAGGCTCTACAATATGAAGATACGAAGTACAAATACCGAAGAAAAAATAAATTCAATCTTATAAAAACAACAATGTTTAATTTCATTTAATATAAATTGTACAAAAGATGAAGAGTGATGTAGAATATCTATATTTAACAAAACACGAATTATGACACTGATATCCATGGGTGGATATGATATTATGCAAAATTTGTAAACAACAAAATATGCGAGACATCAAAACAATGAATAAATTATAGAATTATAGAAAGAATAATTTAAAACCATAACAAATTCTTTCATACTGAAAAAAATCATATCAGTTCATGAAAATCTTGTAGTTAAAACAGCGACGTCCATCTCAATTAAGACATGATATTTGAATAGTAAGAACTATCGATAATCTAGGAGCATGATGTAAAATGGAATCTTTCGGGGAAATGTGTGTATGGTGTTTTACGCGTGCGGTGACAAGGGTTTAGAGGCTGCACGGATATGGAACAGGAACGTTAAGTGTCAAACAGACTCAAGGCGCCAGTGAGACGTAGAACCGGTATCCTCGGTTACGGCAGTGCCTACTTTCTTCTTGGCTGAAATATACTTAAACAGAAGTATAAGCAAAGAGGTGATGGGAATTAAGCTACACCCTCCTGCCACGGACGCTACGATGATGCCTGTTGAACCCCAAGCCGCCTCTGTTGACCCTTGATCAGTTTGGCCGAAGTCTGGTATAGGTTGTTGTGACGGCTGGGATATCACTGGTGTCATTTTTATAGAGATTTGCTTCAAAGACTTTGTCTTTGCAGAAAACGTTTGTGATGTTGAAGAAATTGGTACTGCTGATGTAGGTTTTCTTGGTGTTGAATGTTTTCCCGCCGTTTGTGGCTTTTTATCTTTTTGCACAGTTGTGGCTTGTAGCTTGGTTGGCGACGGCGTAAGTGTCACATGTAGCCTCGTGGTCGTGTCGGTGGTTGATGGTGGATTCGTCGTTGTTTCAGTTGCTTGAACATCAACACTGAAGTTTCTCTTGACCATACCCTCTGAGTTTGATATTTTCAGTGTCCACATTCCACTGTCTAACAATGAGGTCGACATCACATGTAAAGATCCATTTTCATAAACAGAAAGCGACCCTAATGTCGTATTATATGGATATAGCAGGGATTTTCTGGGAGTTTTCCACTCTATAAAAGGGAAAGGATCTCCCGTTATATTGCACGACATTGTCAAGGTGTCTCCCAATTTTATGTGTGTTTGTATCTTGTCACAATCGATGATTTTCGGTGGCTGACATTTCAAGTCGGAACCTGCGACCCGCGAAAGTGGTATGTATTGAAGCGGGCTGGGTCCATCACAAATTATAGCGTCTGTTATATTACGGAGAGAAGGATGACTCTTTAAAATCTTCATATTGCAATTGCATTCCCATGAATTACCGCCAATATATAATGTCTGTAGCTTAGAAATAAATTCCCATACTTGTTCATCCAACGCTATCAATGAGTTTGAGGAAATATCTAAAACATTCAAATTAGGAAACAAGTTCATATGAAGCTCACCTAGATGCTTGATTGAATTGCCGTGTATGTCCAGAACTTTCAATCGGGTTAAACCGTGGAAAACATTAACATCTAATTCCTGCAAATTGATCTCACCTATATACAGTTCTTGAAGCAAAGGAAGATCCCGGAATGTTCCATCACTGATTTTGATACCCAGATTACCAGACAAATCAAGAACTTCCAATTTCGAAAGTCCAGCAAATGTTTTAGGTCCGATCTGTTGGATGTTGTTGTGGTTCAGCCGCAGTTGCCGGAGTTCCTTGAAGTTACTGAACGTATAATCGTCGAGAGCCTCGATTTCACTAAAACTAAATGAAATATGTCGGAGTTCGGACATATTCGGTAAGTCGGCCGGACGAACACGTTTAAAGCTATTTTGTAACGTCACATTCCCAGCCAGATGTAACGACTTGGTAAGTTCCGAAATGTCTTTTGGGATTGTTTGAAGACCAGCATCGCATGATACAATGACGTTGAATTGACATCGGCACATGGTCGGACACACATAAGACCCGGATGTAAAGCAAATGTTCATCATTATCAGGTATATTGTTACATTTAAAAGCGCTCGCAGAATATCCTTATGCATCTCCGGAAGTTATTCCAATTGAAGAATCACTCTGTTATAAAGTCCAATCGAGTTGATTTTAAGGAAAACTTTTATGTTCAATGTTCAAAATAAGATTTTCAAATTGAACAATTCATGCGCTGAGAAGAATAAAAAAACGTTACAAACTATTAACAGTTGTTCTTATGTTAAATGTGATATGCGCATGTATAGTATTGTCTATCATATACTGAGCCAGAAATGAAAATATCTGACTACGACTCATATTTATACTGGTTCAGTTTGACGCGTAATGTCTAAATTTAATATGATTGTTTTACCTATGTAAATCGATATATACACATCTACATAACCGTGTCCTGACGAATAATAGCTATCATATCGATAGCAATGTCGTAAATCAGTCACAGGAATGGCCGTTATCACTTTGACGGGTTAAAAGTTTTCAAGATATGTCATCTTAGGTGTGTTTTTAATTTAATTTTGTGAGCATTCAAAGAATTGTGGGTGTATAAAGAATTGTGGGTGTATAAGTAAAGAAAAGAAATATGTTATATGAAGCACGGGTTATTTTATCGACGAAATGAAATTCGAAATAAATGAAAACAAAGCTGCTTTTCAGACAGAATTAACGACATTCCATTGTATACGTAATTAATTAAATAGTTATATTTTTTCATATATTTCAAACTTTTTATATTAAAGCTAACAATTCTTTCTACCAGGTGTGCCTGTTCCGAGATTTCTGACGAGTATTTGTTTGTCTTATCCGAAGTGGGATAGAACTAATTTATTTACAAACAGGAAATTACATGATGTAATGTCAAGAATAAACAAGAAAATCATGAACGATCAACTTCTGTTGTATTTACTCACAAAATGTGAACTGTTAGCGTCGGTTAAACGGAAATCTGTTATTTATAAAGTATATTATATATCTAAAAGTAAAGAAAAATACCGATATATGTTATCATTAAATGATTAGCATATCGACATGGTCAATGGTGAAGTCTATATTGTTGATTGACACGGATGGTGGGGGCGTTGTGATTCAGTTAAGATTGATAGAATAATTGATAGACGTATTATAATGCTAGATAAATTGTATTTCTACATAACTACGTTGAAATTTTTTGGAAGTCTCACAATTACATTACGTTGGTCTGTTGTGTTAGCTCTTTAATCCATCCCTACGCACAATCCTCTCTTCCACCCACCCTCTACCGGTAGTACCCTGACATGCTCGGGGATTGGGTAGGAGCAAAGGTATGCTTGGTCTATCACGATTGAATATTGTTAGTGTAGAATTTGAAGAGATTAGATTGGACCGAATTTATCCAATTTAATTACGTTTTCTCCGTTCCAAAGGACGAAAAGTATGTTTGTAATATGGTACAGAAACAACGTAAGTTGTTGTATAGATATTTTCTTTAAGTTTGATTTATAAAAAGTATACTTATTGTATTTTTTCTATAAATAATGGTAATCAATGGGACAGTTTTATTGATATATATCGCGGTAATGCATCTTATATTATATAATCTATGGCGACTATCCTTTTACACTTTTATAAAGGAGATTTATTATTCATGGCGTAATTACTTTGGTCTTCGTTTTTACAATGTTTTTATTAGAATATACGATTTTATCAGTATGCTGTAGTACGTTTGTCTAGAGGATTGTGTTTTGTATGTGTTGCTCGGATTTGCACAATTTTCTGAAAAACTTTTAATCGGTTTTTTCGTCGGCTGTTTTACAAAGTAATGTGTTTTAACCATTGTTTATCTAATTCAAGTAGTTATCTTTCATTTTAAACTTTGAGAACAAAGTGAGATAATATCGGGATTATTGTTATGAATTACGGAGTTTATAAACTGTGTTAATCTCTTATGTATTTCTTCCACTGGAGATGGATCTACATAAGATGTAGAACTAGTTTCCGAGTCCTTTTTCAACAATTGTGTATTTCTTTACATCATACTGTAAATGAAAAAAAAATGAAAAATGAAATAAAGTTTATATTAAATAGTGCCCCAGTTTGACACGTCCTTGTAATTATTTTACATTTCGGACGCTGACAGTTAAGTGGGATGGGCGGAAGGGGAACTACGAGGTAAAACAGTCTCTGGTGAAGATTTAGTTTTCGTGTCCAGCCCATTGTATATTTATCATCAATTCTGTCCGAACCACATTTTCTTTCTTTCTTCCTTCCATCCTTCCTTCCTTCCTTCCATCCTTCCATTCATCCATTTCCATCCAGATTATAACTTGATTGAATTTAAAATATATGTTACAGGGAAGGACTGAAGAGGTTGGTATAATCTGTTTTCTGTTTCCAACTTTTTTAGCTTTCATATTCGATATAAAAAGGGGGTGGGGGTGGGGGTGGAGGTTGGGTGCTAATGTAGCCACCCGACGTCGGCGTCCCACTTCAGATTTTAGTAGGTGTTTAGTTTCATCACAATCAAGAGGCTGTTGAATATTACAAGGTTGGGGTGATGGTAAGGGGAGTAAAGGCAAAGTGCCAAGCGATATTTTCATATTTCAGGGGCAGTTGAATTACACTTTTTAAGCAAGATTTTTACAGTGCCGATTCATCGCACGCTATATGTTACTATACAAGTTTGGGGCATTTGTAATAAGTGCAAGCAATATGGTGAACCATATATGAATATTTTATCCCAAAATAACCTAATTGGATTTCTTTGGAGTTTTTGAGCATTTGTTTAGTGAAATCTTAAATCTTCACAGTCAAGAGGATGTTGACTGTTATAGGTTTGAGACATTTTTAAATAAGTAAGTAATATGCTTAACAATATTTGTATATTTTATAATATAACATGTCAACAATATATTGGCAAATCACGCTTTTCTCCTACCGCCCTTGTTTAATATGAGGTTATGTGGTACAACTTGTTTAAAATAGTTTACCACTAAACTATGATTCTCGCTCCTAGTAATTTATATAGAACTCGGGTCGACTTAATACAGCTACATCACTTGCGAGTCACGTCTTTTAAGTCATGACGTAGTTGACTATCCTCGAAATACCAGGCCTGTAGCGACGGATCAATTTTGAAACCGCAATCGTCCCCAAATGCACGTACAGCAAGGTGTAAAATGAACGGGGAACCTTAGTGTTGCTTTTAGGCCGAGTAACGCACATTTTGTCTTTTCGCTGTTCCCAGAGAGTGTTTCAATATCTAAACAGAAACGATCGACAAAACCACAATTACAATTGAAATATGTATATCCGTGTGTTGTATTTCTTTAAAATAAGAATTGAATTCCCTAAAAGTACATTATTCAGAACATTTATTCAATATATCATTAGAAGTTTTTTAAAAATTATTTAACTATATAATTAACATAGCAATAAAGCATCTACATTAAGCAGTTTTGAAACTATGTTGCGGGCGGTAAAAAGTGTAAGTAATATGCTTAACAATATTTGTATATTTTATAATGATATGAGGTTATGTTTAAAATAGTTTACTAGTAAACTATGATTCTCGCTTCTAGTGATATAGAATATTAAATTTACTCAGATAAAATATTATCCATGACTTATTTTTTTATTGTGTTGATATAACTATCCGTTACTTCCGATTTGTACTTTGATGAGTTCCTTGACCAAAATATTATAGTGATACGTACCTCACTGAAAGTGACACACAGTATAGCGATACGTACCTCACTGAAAGTGACACACAGTATAGCGATACGTACCTCACTGAAAGCGACACACAGTATAGCGATACGTACCTCACTGAAAGCGACACACAGTATAGCGATACGTACCTCACTGAAAGCGACACATAGTATAGTGATACGTACCTCTCTGAAAGTGACACACAGTATAGTGATACGTACCTCACTGAAAGTGACACACAGTATAGCGATACGTACCTCACTGAAAGTGACATACAGCTTATTTTCTACGGGAAAATTGAACAATGTGTGTAATAGGAATGACATCAACAATGACTTGTATGTAGAGAAAAATGTGAAATCTCATAGACAGAGCGATAGAAAATATACTTTTTAACTATAACCAGCGGACACACAGGACAGTTCTCTAAAATGATGCAAACTTGATTAACTGCCTCATTTGTTATGCTCTAATAGAAGCCACGGGGCCAACGACAGGAGACGTATACATTGAAAGGAAGCCGGGAAAATCGTTGTTGTTCAAGCCTCAATAGATTTTCACCCATTCTAAAAATCACAGCTACTAATATCACAGAAAATACGTAGGCAATACTTGCTCAAGAGGAAAGGCCGGGCTTATCCGTTCAAGCACTTGGAACGCTATGGTTTAATATTGAAAAAATAGTTTATGGAATAGAAAAAACGTATTGAAAAATGGGACTAAAACCCCAAGTTTATGAAAATAATCAATCAGCTGAAGTAAGAGGCTGGTGCCAAATTTCATCATAAATCATCTTATGCAAATGCAATGTACTTAACGATCACTTGAGCCGGCCACTTATCTACCGGTCTAGTTCTACTCCCGTCTAAAATCATAATATAATATATATCATCACTAATCCTTGGAAATTATTTCGGTGACAATGATTGTTTTGTTAAAGAATGGTTAAACAAACATCATATTGAATCCGAGTGGAAACGAAAAAATCCATGTATTCTCAGAATTGTTTGGTTTATTGAAATATTACTCAATAGATTTACCGTGAAATTAAATCGCTCCATGGGAATGTAATTATTTATCTATATGTCAACCATTTAACATGTGCTGACGAGATTGATCTCTGAACATACAATTTCAATATATGAGATAAACCAAGAATATATACTTTAAATGTAGATAAGGATGTTTGCTATCGATTCCATGTAGATATAAAGAAA